TACGTTAACCATGTATGCAGTAAGACACTCACACACAATGTATTTCAAATAAACAAGATATCAAATCATAACTGCATTTTCACAAGAGTATCAATACCCACAACACTCGCTTTTGTCGTGTTAAATGTTCATTTGATCACATTTAAAATGAAGATACTGGAACACATTCATTTCTAAAGGTATCAAACAGTAAAGTGCATTAGACAGGATTTTGGCTGTTTTCATATATTTTCAAATGGATTTGATAAACACATTTACATACATTTATTTCTGTGAGGTACATTTCTATGTGTTATATTTCCCCATACATTTTAATATAAATGTATTTTAAAATATGTTTGGTTAATATGGGGATATGTTCTGAAATACATTTTAGTGTTTGCTGTGTATTTTAGCATAGACTGCAGTGTGTTTGAAATGTATTTCAAATACACAAAATATACGTTCAAATATATATTTTTCTGTTTGAGAAATTTGAAGTTGATTCACCCCAAAAGTCAGAAATCGCTCATTGCGGCAAATTTCACTGAAATGAACAGAATTTTGCTTGTGGGAATTTGCTGTGAGTGGTCCTTGAATCTGTGTGTGTGTGTGTGTGTGTTTTTGGTGACTTTCCTCTCTGTTTCTAAAATTCAGTAAATCAAAACAAATAAATGCGTAAATTAGTTTGAGAAATCAATATAAGCTGTTCTCCTCTTTCTTCAGTGTAATGAGGTTTAAAGGCCTGGAGCTCCAGCAGATCGTTTCCACTGCCGTCCTCTGACTGATCAAATCCAGAGGAAACTCGATTAGAAAAGAATGAGGAGAATAAAGAGGAATAAAACACGGAACGCAACGGCGCGCATGAGAGTTTAACAATAATACAACTGTGTGTGTGTTCATTATGACGGAGTGTTTCCTTCTAAACTGAGGTGAAATAACGTCCATCATTCCGTCCACCGTATCCATGGAGACAGTGGACGCAGGAGAGGCTGGACTGTGTGTGAATAAGAAGGAAAGACATTCCGAGTGAAAAGAGACACTCAAAGACGCAGTTGAGCCAAGTTACGCTCACACTCTCACAGCTTTTAGTTTTAAAGAGGACCTCTTCCAGTTTTTCTCTTTCCTTTAGTGGGTTGTAGCTTTCTGTGCATGTAAACATTCTGAACATCCCAAAGCTCAGCGTTCCCTCCAGAGGGAGAAACTCTCTGCCACAGAAACCACTTTTCTCAGCTGCCTGAAACGCCTTGTTGGAATTCCAGCCCTTTTCCTTTGTTACAGGATGAGGCAATCTCATAACACAGTTCTTACTGCCTGCCTACTGGCAAGCTTGGCACGCCCTCACACAGCACACAGCGGCTAACGTTGCAGTGCATGCTGGGGACTGAAGTGCAGCACATTGTGAAATGAGCTAATATAAATATAGAAAATTGAAATGCTTTTGCAGGCCGGATAGGATTGTGTCGTGGGCCTATTCTGGCCCACGGGCCTTGTGTTTGACACATGGGACCTAGGGGACACCCTAACAACTGCTTAGCAGCCACCCAAAATGTAATGGCAACCACCTATCAGTAGCTTAGCAGCTACATGGAACACTATGGCCACCATCAGAACAGATCAGATCAGAAAAGAGCGGGCAAGCTGACCAATCAGAGCACACTGGGCTCATCAGGAGGCAGGGCTTAAAGACACAGGAGACAGTCTACAGCCTTTTCGCTCCCCATTCACCCTTCAGCACCCTTTAGCCCTGCTCATTCAGCCACCTGAGTTACCATGACAATGGCCTAACAACATAGCAACCATAGGACCTATGTAGAATTGTGTAGAATTAAGGTGTAACCGCTGTCCCATAGATTGTTATTGGGGTAGGAGAGTCGAAGCACACGTAACTTTGCAGTGCATGCTGGGGACTGTAGTGCAGCACATTGTGAAGTGGGCTAATATTAAAAGAAAATTTAAATGCTTTTGCAGGAAGAAGAGGATTGTGTCACAGGCTAATCTGGCCCACTGGCCTTGTGTTTGACACATGGGACCTAGGGACACCCTAACAACCGCTTAGCAGCCACCCAAAATGTAATAGCAACCACCTATCAGTAGGTTAGCAGCTACATGGAACAGTATGGCAACCATCTAGAAACTCCCTCGAAACCACCTGAAATACCACAGCAACACCTATATAACATCATATGAACTACTTAGAAACCTAGAACACACACACACAGTTTAAACAGCTATTAAGCTCCTCAGCTGTCATTAGCTGGTGTTGTCGGGGTGAACTCTTCTATTTGATGTTCTTGTCCATACTGAGGTGATTGAAGTGCTGGAGCTCCATTAAGTCGACATCAGCTCTGAGCTGAGATTCAATAACATTAATAGAACTGCACACAGTCAGGGCAGGTGATACACTGCACCTGTTCTGCAGGTAAGAGGACAGGAGAGTGAGAATGGAACAGGAAATTACAGTGAACCATGTGTGTGTGTGTGTGTGTGTGTGTGTGTGTGTGTGTGTGTGTGTGTTTAATTGAGTGTGTATGAATGGAGCCAATAGAACAGTGTGTGTGTGTGTGCGCGAGTGTGTGTGTGTGAGAGAGAAAGTCCTTCATGTTTTAAGACTCAGATCAGAGTCAGAACACACACTGATCAAACACACCCAGAACCCCATTCACATGCAAATGTAATTAAATCTGCACAATACATATCATTAAACTGCTGCGCATCTCATTAAACCACCACGCATCTCATTAACCCCACAGAGACACGCAGGGGTCCTGCAGCCTCTCGCTGATATTTATATTCATATTCACACTTGCAGTATAACTCTATTATATACTCTCTCAATCTGTTCTCTCTCTCTCTCTCTCTCTCTCTCTCTCTCTCTCTCTACTCTCTCTGTTGTCTCTCTGTCTCTTTCTGTCTATTCTCTCTCTATTCTCTTTCTCTCTCTGCCTCTTGCCTCTATCTCTCTATTCCCTCTATATATAGACTCTCTCTCTCTCTCTCTCTCTCTCTTTCTCTCTTCCTCTCTCTCTCTCTCTTTCTCTCTGTAAATGTAATTAGTGTTATATATTAGATCATTTAACCCAATCAAAAAGCTCACTGATTCTGACTCAGGTCCTGCTCTGTATTTGAATATGCTAATATTGTCTCCTCTCCTGATTGGTTAATTAACCTCTGATGAAGTCGTCTCGGTCGGAGTCATGTAGTCGTCTGGGTGAAGATGGTGAAGGTTACACACACATACACACACACTGAGTTTTGGGAGACGGAGTTTATGAAGTTTCTGTCAGGATTATATCATCATTTTTCTTGCTGCAGGTTTAAGAACAAATAAACATTTAAATGGCTGATTTAATTTTATGCACAATGTAAACACTGTTGAACTGTCAAAATGTGTAACTCCACAGTTTATACAGTCCACACACAGAAACCTACCTCACCCATTCAGCCAACAGCAGTTTATCCCCACCCATTCAGTTAGTAATAGAACACAATATGGTCCTAGGTTCTAGACATTAGTAATACAGCATAGTTATATATACTGATATATTTCACTGTGACTAACACCGTAGAAACCCCCTGGCAACCACCTGTAACACCACAGCAACTGCCTAGGAACTGCTTGGCAAACCTGGAGAGATACCATAGTAATCATCTAACGACACCCTAGTGCTCGTCTTCAATACTACAGCAACTACATCCTGGCAGCCACCAGAGATCCTGTAGCACTCACATAGAAACCATCAGAGATACTATAGCAACTGCCTTACAATGCCATAGCAACAACATGGAATAATAAAGCAACCATCCAACAATTCCCTAGCACCTGAAACTCTACAGCATCCACCTAGTGACACCCTAGCAAGCATCAATGAGGCCAAAGAGGCCATATCAACCCCCTAGTACATCGCCACCTGGAACACCACAGCAGCACCCTAGCAACCACATATGATACCGTAGAAATTGCCTAACACCCTCACAACCACCTGGAACTTCACATGAACCACCTAGAAGCCTAACACACAGACACACACACTCGCATTTGAACAGCTATTAGTAATAGAACCTATTAGATTCCATAGTGAAGGGCCTAGAGATCAGTGACAGAATATTCAAGTCTACAGTGAAGGTTCTAGAAAATATTAGTGTGAGGGCAGAGAGGACATTTTATTCCAGAATAAAGAGCTTTAAGAAAAATTGTGTTTTGTGTTTGTTCATCACATTAATTTGAGACACACTAGTAAACACTCACACACACACACACACACACACACACTAACACACACTTTTCCTCTGCATCTCTGCGGAAAAAAAATAAATAAATAAATAAATGTTCCTCAGGATTTCACTGTCAGGATCTTGAGCAGGACAGATGTTTGTTAGTTGTTGTTGTTTATGAACGGGTTTCGGAGTGTTTTCCCCGTCGCATTTCTGTGTGACATTTGACAGCTTGAGTGTGCATGAATGTGTGTGTGTGTGTGATCATCATTACCTGCATCAGGCTGATCGCTGTGTGTGTGTTTGTGTCTGTGTGTATATGTGTCTATTGTCTCCTGATAATAAAACTCACTCCTGATGTTTTGCTCCATCAGTCTGCAGCTCTGTGTGACACATTTCATCATTTATCAGCTGCATTTTCAGCAGCACTGCAGCACACAGTGTGTGTGTGTGTGTGTGTGTGTGTGTGAGAGTGTGAGCGCTCGTCTTACTGCTGTTATGAGGACCAAATGGCAAATATGTATTAGTATGTGTTACATGAGTGTGTGTATGTGTGTGTTTGTTGTGACTGTGTGTATGTATATTTTGAGTGTGTATGTGTTATGTGTGTGTTATGAGTGTGTGTGTGTGTGGTAGTTTGTTAATATTGGTGTGTGTGTGTGTGTGGTAGTTTGTTAACATCGGTGTGTGTGTGTGTGTGTGTGTGTGTGTGTATGTGTGTGTGCGTGCGTGTGTGTGTGTGTGTGTTGGTGTGTGTGTGTTGGCGTGTGTGGTAGTTAACATTGGTGTGTGTGTGTCTTTTTCAGGTGATCCTGATTCTCACCAAACTGTTTGACTTCAACCTCGGCACCGTCACGGAGAGCTCACTCTGGAGGTAACAACTTCACTCACTTATTCACTTACTCAGTCCCTCATTCACTCATTCATTTACTTATTCACTCATTCACTCACTTATTTACTTATTCACTTACTCAGTCACTCATTCACTCATCCACTTAATCATTTACTCACTCATTCACTTGCTTATTTACTTATTCACTTACTCATTCACTTACTCACTCACTTATTTACTTATTCACTCATTCACTCACTTATTCACTTAGTCACTCATTCTCTCACCCACTTAATCATTCACTCACTCATTCACTTACTCAGTCACTCACTCACTCACTGAACTTGTTCAACTATTCATTCACTTATTAACTCATTCATCATTTACAATCCTAAACTCAGCTCATTACACTGCAGTCAGGCTTCATTATGTTCACTCTACTGAGTAACTTTTCATTACATGTAAATTATAATGAAATGTCTTTCATTTACAAACACAAATGTGAAATGTATTTATTTATTTAGAATAAATTATTAGTATACAAATAGTTTTATAGTCTAATTTAGACAGAAATAACTATAGACAATTAATAAAAATCTAAAAAATGCAGAGATAAACAAATTGAATAAATATGAAGAGAAATAGAGATAATAAAAAAAAACAGTTAAAATAAAGCTTCTGTGTTGTTGAGCTGATGGTTGTTTTAATTTAACACTAAGCTAATCAGTTAAAGCTTCTACAGCTGATCAGGCAAACTGAGCAACTGTGTGGTTGCTGTAATTTAAAGTAATTAATGTGTGCCTGCTGAAACTTTAGGGTTTATTCAGGTTTTAGAGATGAAGCTGGTTAGAAATCAGGGCATTAGAGAGAGAGGGAAAGAGGGAAAGAGAGAGAGAGAGAGAGAGAGAGAGAGAGAAGGAGAGAGAGAGGACAGTGTTCTTTAACACCTCTGGATCGTCCAGTTGAAGCTTTTCATCAGACGTTCACCAGAGGAGAGAAAAAAGAGACACACTGGCCCGACTCACACTGCAGAACAGAGGAACCGCGAAAGAAAGTTGAAAAATCTCTACGCATATAAACACAGAACTGAACACCAGGAACCGAATTACAGAGACATCTTAACTCTGAAATCTGATGTGTCTCCATGACAACTTCAGTACGGACTGAATTTTGGACAGTAGCTATTAAAGAATAACAGGTCCTAACTTCATAATCTTATCATTAACTCCAGATAAGAAAACAGTATTACACAAACATCCTAGACTAAATCTCCTAAATACTGTCCTAACTTTAGGATGAACCCCAACAGTGTCCTAACTTCTGTTTAACCGTCCGTTTCCATCGTTTTTAGGCAGCTGTGTCAGGCAGCATAGTTCACTACTAGCATAATGACACTACATTTATTTATACTGTAAAACGCTGCTTTCACTGTGAGATGTTTTTCCATTCTAACTCTGCGTTTTAAAAATCTCAGACGCTGCAGTCTCGATCTCCACCGTCCCCCTTATTACCTTCGTGTGTTAATGTTGATGATAAAATATTACAGTGATGGTGGTGAATAATGAGGAGACAGAGCTGAACGTGTGTCTGTTTATCGGGAGGAATAATGTTAGCACACTCGGCTAAAGCATTTGGGAAATGGAGACTGAAACTGGGGAACAGTGATGCTCTGATAAACAGCAGGGAGCGCTCTCACAGTATTCACAACTTACAGCTTATCACACTTTAGTTTAGTTTGACCTTTTTTACATCAGTAACGGCAGCTGTGACTCTCATTTTTAACGTTATTTTGATTAGATGTTTACATTTCAGCTGTGCATGTATGGTCGGTTGCTAGGAAACAGACATGACAGCTGATTGTAGACTTTGATCGATAGGTTAAGATTCCTAACTGGAGATAAGATGCGGTAAGACAAGGTACAATTCCTAAATTAAGATCAGATTTGCTTCTGTTATATGAATCTGTAAAAATATTATTTTGATCTGTTGGATATCAAGACCAAAAGAGAGGAAGTTTTTATTGTGTTTTTATTGTTCAAGCACACACAATACAAGTAAATCAACAGATACATTACAACAACGCAATGTACGTTTCCAACGGTCACATTATAGAGAGAGAGACAGAGAGAGAGCGAGGGAGAGGGAGGGAGAGAGTAACAGGGCTGTGTTATTTGAGAGGAGTATGTGTGTAAATGATGGTGTAATAATAGTATGAATGATTAATGAGCACTGCTGGTTGCTGTTTGAAGGTGGATAAATGAAGATGAATAGTGAGTGATGGAGGGAGAGTTAATCAGACAGAGCTGAGTTTCAAAACAAAACAACTTTAACACCATCTAATATAACATTACACACACACACACACACACACACACACACACACACACACACACACACACACACACACACACACACACAGAGCTCATCTACACCAACGAGTCCTGATTCTATGTGAAGTGCAGCTTCAGGCACTCACAGGTCAGTCTTTTGTCTGTTTCTCCACTGCATAAAGTAGAAGAATTTTTTGCGCCAGAATGCTGGAATGGTGCTTTCTCCATTGGTCACTGGTAGTATCATGATCAATACTAACAGGACCTAATGGTACTTAATGGTGTTCTACTTTATGTTTGATAACACTGGCAGCTGAAGTTAATGACAACCACTCTTCTAGGTAAAGATAAAGCCAACAAGCACTATTACATCACCAATAAGAGCTCCAGAATGGAAACTAGAACAGTACGTTCATGAGTCAGTTGATGCCTGGAAATATAGGACCTTGGGAACACAGGACCTTGGGGACATAGGACTTTGGGAATATAGGACCTTGGAAGCATAACACTTTGGAAATATACAGCCTTGGGAATATAAGACCCTGGGAAACATAGGACTGTATGGATATAGGACTTTGGGAGCATAGGACCTTGGAAACATAGGACTTTGGGAATATAGGACCTTAGGAACATAGGAACTTAGAAGCATAACACTTTGGAAATATAGGGCCTTGAGAACATAGGCCCCTGGGAAACATAGGACTATATGGATATACGACCTTGGGAACATAGGACCTTGGAAACATAGGACTTCGGGAATATAGGACCTTGGGAATACTGGACTTCAGAAACATAGGACTTTGGGAATATAGGACCTTGGGAACATAGGGCCTTGGGGCCATTGGACTTTGGGAATATAGGACCTTGGGAACATAGGACCTTGGGAACATAGGACCTTGGGAATATAGGATATTGGACCTTGGGAACATAGGACTTTGGGAACATAGGAATTTGGGGGTGTAGGACCTTGGGAACATAGGACCTTGGGACCGTAGGACTTTGGGAACATAGGAATTTGGGGATGTATGACCTTGGGAACATAGGACATTGGGACCATAGGACTTTGGGAGCATAGGACTTTGGGGATATAGTACCTTGGCAACATAGAACTTTGGGAACATAGGAATCTAGGGATGTAGGACCTTGGGAACATAAGACCTTAGGACCATAGGATTTTGGGGATATAGGACCCTGGGAACATAGGACTCTCTTGATATAGGACCCTAGGAACATAGGACTTTGGTGATATATGACCCTGGGAACATAGAACTTTGGGAATATTGGACTTTGGGGATATAGGACACTGGAAGCATAGGACCATGGGAGCATAGGTATGCTCCCTGGGTGAGCTGTCTGTTCGATTTTGGTGATAGTACAGCAGAACTTGTCTCCATGTCAGTTTTGCACATAACTGAGCCATTAATTTCTCAATGTTGCTGGTTCCAGAGACACAGTCTGTGCCTCGAGTAGCTTTACTATGTACTTTTTCACTACATAATAAACAGGTGAGTGAATAAGGACACAGTGTTTAGTCAGTTCCAGCTGCACTAAACAGAGCTAGAATATTAATTTTTGGAAGTTGTTTTTATAGTTTTTTGATGAATTAGACTGAAAGTCATACCAAAGTAGCCAACGTTAGTGAGCCAACTAACATTAGACATTATTATACATTAACTAGCTAGCTGGCGTGCATGTCTTGCTAACTTGTTGGATTAGTGTTGATAATAGAGATGATGGCTGGTTGTGTTCACACTGCTGCCGACTGTGAGATACTGAATATGTTTATGGCCAAACGGGTCACTGCTGGTTAACTGTTTACTACTAATAAGAATCTATACTAAATTTGGCCACTGTCATATCTGTGATTTTGGTTTTAGGGAAGGTTCAGTATAAAATTCCATGAAAAATGGTGCAAGTGCTCCTCTGACACACACACATACACACATACACACATACACACACACACACCCCTTTACAGATTAAATCTGAACAGAGCTGATGAAAAACTTAAAGGTAGCTAAAGCTGGAGGGTGTTTACAGACAGTGAAAGGGAGAGAGAGGGATAGGAAAGATGGAGATAAACAGACAAAGAAGAGAAAGAGAGAATAATGAGGAAGAGAAAGATGGAAAAGGAGAGAGAAACAAAAAGGAGAGAGAGAAAATAGTGCAAAGAGAAAAAATATGAAATGAGAGAAAAAACAGATTGAGAGCTTTAATGAATGAATGGTGTGTGTTTGAATGGAATTTGTGTTTGCGAGAGTCTCAGTGTTTGATAGTATCTCTCCACACTCTCTCTCTCTCTCTCTCTCTCTCTCTCTCTCTCTCTCTCTCTCTCTCTCAGTGATTCAGGTCTTTATCTGGTGCTGAGCGTCAGCAGGAGTTAATGCAGTAATTATGTTTTTGTGTAATTGGAGAGAGATAGTGCAAGTCTGCTTTACTACGTCTCAGTCTGATACGCCGTGTGTGTGTGTGTTCTGTGTTTTTAGTTGGTTTTATCCGCAGTGCAGTCCATTCACCTGAAAACACATCTCAGCACCAGGGACCACATTCACTAAAGCTTTTATAAAGTTCAAACTTTATTTATTTATATAACACTTCTTACAACAGCCACTGTCACAAAGGTTTGTGGAAAATCTGGCTCCGAGCCCCCCGCGAGCATCGCCAGGAAAAACTCCCTGAGAGCGAGAGGAAGAAACCTGGAGAGAGGAGCAGAGCCCATCCTCCTCTGGTCCACACCAGAGAGCAAAAAACACAAAGGACAAGAGATATTTAGACAAAACACTGAACACTTTTAAAATGTGTTTGCAAATGTGATTAAAAAAAACTTAAACATTATCTTAATAAATATGTAGTAAGCTGTTAAATTGTTCATCATGTAGTGGATTGATGACAGCCTGGCAGACAGCACCAGGCTTTAGCCATTAGCCAGGTTATTTCTATTTTCAGAAAAATAAACAGATTCTCAAATATTCTTAACAAAATATTATTTTAAACACACCGTTATGTTATTTATTATGTACTTTTAATTTGTTTCTAGAATTTGTCAGTACTGACCCCATTATCAACTGTTAATATTGACCCCAACCCTACCTTACTGACCCCAACCCTACCTTACTGACCTCAACCCTACCTCACAGACCCAACCCTACCTCACTGACCCCAACTCTACATCACTGACCCCAACTCTATTGCAGTAATCAAACTCTACTTCACTGATTGTTTCTTTGTTTCTTTTATGTTAGTATAATTTTTTTTTTTCATTTCTTTTTATGCTAGTGGGTTTTATTTTCACTGCAGTGCTGAGTGACACATTGTATTTTTATTTTTGCTGCTGATTTAACTAAATCAGAGCTTTAGGTCTATTTCTGCTTCTGATCTCACAGGAAATAATTAACATAATCACACTTTACCTGATCAGTTCCACAAACATACACTAAACTACAGTCAATTTACACTAAACTACAGTAATCTACACTAAACTACAGTCAATCTACACCAAACTACAGCCAATCTACACTAAGATACAGTAATCTACACTAAACTACAGTAATCTACTCTAAACTACAGTCAATATACACTAAATTACAGTTTCTGCTCTGATGTTCACCTGAATCTGATTCAGAGTGTTGTTGTTTGCAGGTCGGTGGATTATGGGGCGACTTACGTGAAGATTAACGACCGAGTCATTACTAGAACCATGCTCAGCTACATGTACTTGTGTCCGACCAATAAGAGGAAGGTGGGTGTGGCCTGATCTGAAACATTAAAAAATGAAGACATTAGAGTTTACTGAAGATTGTTATTAGTCTCTCTCCCTCCCTCTCTCTCTCTCTTTTTCTCTTTCTCTCTCTCTCTCTCTCTCAGGTGCTGATTCTGTCTGATCCAGATGTTGAGAGCAGTTTATTGATCAGTTCGGATGAAGGAGCCACTTTTCAGAAGTTCAGTATTAACTTTTACATCATGAGCCTGTTATTTCACCCAACACAGGAGAACTGGATACTAGCCTACAGCGACGACCAGAAGGTAAACACACACACACACTCACTCACAAACACACACACACAAACTGTTATTTAGTGGCTTATTATTTTTGGTTATTGTTATTATTTACTTATTTCACTTTACTGTTCTATTGAATTTTTCATTTCACAGCAGTAAAGTTTTGACTGAGCATTTCTGCTTCTACTCCCATATCTTTTCTGAGACATCAAGGTCGGGGTTGGTTGGCACAGTTGTCATACTTAATAATTTATTTCTACTGTACTGTATGTTAAGATAGTTCATGTATCAGTATGTCAGAGCTTAACAGCTCAGCTAAAAATACACACAGTGAAGCTTGGATTCGTTATTAATATTTACCTAAGTTAGTTTATTGTTAGACTCACAAGCCAGAATTCTATTTTTGTGTAAAAACTCTATAACCAGGGTGCCAACTATCCCCAAAATCAGGGAGCCAATAAACTTCAAAATTAATCAGCCCCTAATCATGCTGCCAACAACAAGGTCAGTGTACCAATAAACAGCACATTGTTACACTGCAGTCTGTAACTGTACACTAGTACACTGCAGTCTGTAATTCTACAGTGATACACTGCAGTCTAACTGTACACTGATGCACTGCGGTCTATAACCGTGTACTGATACACTGCAGTCTGTAACTGTGCACTGATACCCTGCAGTCTATAACTGTGCACTGAATCATTGCAGTCTGTAACTGTACACCCACACAGTGTAGTCTCTGTGCTCTAAAACACTGCAGTCTGTAACTGTGCACTGATACAGTGCAGTCTGTAACTGTACACCGATACAGTGCAATCTCTAACTGTGCTCTGATACACTGCAGTCTGTATCTTTGCACAAATTCATTGCATTCTCTAACTGTAGACTAATTCACTGCAGTCTGTAACTGTGCACTGATACCCTGCAGCCTCTAACTGTGCTCTGATGCAATGCAGTCTGTAACTGTATAATGATGCACTGCAGTCTGTAACTGTATACTGACACACTGCAGTCTGTAACTGTGCACTGATACAGTGCAGTCTGTAACTGTATACTGATACACTGCAGTCTCTAACTGTGCTCTGATGCACTGCAGTCTATAACTGTATATTGATGCACTGCCGTCTGTAAAGGCACACTGATCACTGCAGTCTGTCACTGTACACTGATACAGTGTGGTCTGTAGCTGTACACTGACACAGGGCAGTCTGTAACTGTATACTAATCACTGACAGTGTACAGCTGTATCAGAGCTCTTAAAGTGACCAGTAAGTTTCAGGTGGTGTTTCTGTTGTTTTGTCCACTCCTGTGTGTTGTGGTCCTGCAGCTGTACAGCTCCATTGACTTTGGGAGAAAGTGGATTCTGGTGCATGAGAGAGTTACACCGGGTCGATTCTACTGGTAACACACACACACACACACACACACACACACACGCACATATACACACACATACACACGGCCCCTGCGAACATCAATCTAATATCACACACCTACACAGCAATCTCACACTGAAAATTAATCTTTGATCTTTGAAAACACACATCTTCACACACACACACACATACACATACACAGACACAAAAAATTCTAACACCAAGAATGAATCTGATATTAAACTACGTTCTCTTTTTACATCTATATCTCACACTGACACACACACTCCTCATCCCATCACACTTTTCTGCTGCTCTGTGTGTGTGTGTGTGTGTGTGAGCGTAGATGTTAGCAGGTATGCTCATAGAATATAATGTGTTGCTCTCAGGTTTGTGTTGTCAATGTTAATGATAAATTATTAATGGCAGAATTATATTTTTATTGTCATTACATTTTTCTCCTAGTCTGTAATCTGTGACTGTAGCTGTCACTCAAATGCAGCTTTTAAACATCTTTTAAAGTGAAGTCTTCGGCTCCTTTAGCAGACCACACTGCACAGACGCTCACAGGGGAACTATCCTCAAGCACACCAGGTGGCACTGTTGCAGTGGAAGAAGGTTCCCTGGTGCCCTCCAGGACACCAGGTGGTGCTGTCAATGGCAGCTGCTCCAGGACACCCTCTAGGGCACCTGGTGGCTCTGCTGATGCTGGGGTGTCCTCTAGGGTGCCTTCCGGAGCACCAGGCAGCTTTGTCAATGGGGGCAGCTCTAGGGTGCTCTCCAGAGCACCAGGCAGTGATGTCAATGTTGGAGTGTCCGCTGGGACGCCAGGTGGCATTGTTGATGTTGAGGTGGTGCTGTTGATGCTGGCAGCACAGGAGCATCCTCCCGGACACCAGGCTGAGATGTTGTGTCCTCCGGGACACTAGGCGGCACTGTCATGTCCTCTGGGACACTAGGTGGCGCTGTTGGTGCTGAGGTGTCCTCTGGGACACCAGACGGCGCACAGGCATTAGGCTGTAGCAGCCACTCTGGCCAAAGAGAGTCCTCTTCTTTCTCTGTGGGCCTGCCCTCTCCATGCCCACTTCCCCACTCCTGAGAACCTGGCTCGTGGCCAAGAGAGAAACAACGGGGCTCGGGAACAGGTGCAGGCCAGGGACATGACAGGAGGGGGTGGGACTCCGACCAACCCGGCTTGTCCAGCAGAACGCAGTGGGGTGAGAGAAAGGGAGAAGCCAAACTCAGGCAGGAGGGAGAGGGAGGCACTAGGTCTGGGGTGACAGGGGCAGGGCCTTCCATTGTGCTATGCCCCAGTGATCCAGCGGGAGAAGCGCCATGTTCATGAGGGTTGGGAGGCAGTGGGTGGGCTGTGTCATAGGGATGTTGACCTCCTTAGGCCCAAAGACCCACTCCACACTGTTGCTGCCCTTGGCTGAATCCTCAGGGAGCAGACAACAGCAGCAAAGCTCCTTCTTCGTTCTGGTGCAGTTACCAACAAGATGTTTCTCTTCCAAACACCATGTGCACCAGCCCCATTCTGGCAGCGCCAGGTGCTGCTTTTCCTCCATGGGTGAAGGGACCCTTAATGTGGCCCCGTCCACCCACTGCTCGTTTCCTGAGGCAGCCAGCTGGCTGCTCCAGACCCAATAAAGGCAGTACAGAGGGTTGAGGAGGATGGGAGTGTTGCTTGCCCTTCTGGCCTTTTTTGCCTTCTTCCCTCTCAGCATTTTTTTTTTAATTAAGCGAAAACAAAACAAAAAAATGAAACTAATGCCACTTACGCTGGAGCTGCGGCTGATGCACACTGGCTGGAAAACTCAATGAGAGCTCAGCACAAGTGAACCAAAGTGCCAAACGTGGCTAGCTTAGCCTTACTTCATGGAGTCCTTTTTACTCTCATAGTTCCTTGCTGTCTCTCCTAGTGTGTGGTGGCAGGTCAGCATCCTCCTTCTCTCTCACACCAAAAAGAGAGCCAGTTTTTAAAGAGTCTATGCTCTACTCATTAGCCACAGCTGTGTTAAATCTCTGCCTCTCCACCGCCACAACATTCATTGTTTGGAAAATATAGACACTGTTGGTCTTGCTGGATGTTGGTGATGAAAATTGGAAAACCACATTCACTGTGGAGATCAAAAGATCTTCATGTTTGGGTTTCACACTATGAGAATAATGTTATTGAATTGCTGAGAGGAATGTTAGGTAATACTTAAAGTAATATTTAAAAACCAATGGGTGGGGCTGTTTGGCAAGTGCTAGAACTGTATTAGTCAGAAAGAATTATGGAGGTTAATCACTGGGGTGGCTGGAACTCTAAGGCACCTGAGACTGAGAACTCACTGGATGCTCAGCAGAGCCTGTGGTGGGCTTTGGCAACTAACCTAACATTAGTGTGCCAACCTGCCCCAAAATCAGTGTGCCAATCAACCCTCACATTAGTGTGCCAACTTGCCTTAACATCAGTGTACCAATCAGCCCTAAAACCAGTGTGCCAACCAACCCTAACATCTGCGTGCCAACTCACCCTGATGTCAGTGTGCCAACCAATTCAAAAATCAGTGTGCCAACTAGCTCTAGCATCAGTGTGCCAACCAGCCCAAAAAACAGTGTGCCAACCAGCTCCAAAACCAGTGTGCCAACCAGCCCTAAAATCAGTGTGCCAACCAGCCCTAACATCAATGTGCCAACCAGCCCCTAAATCAGTGTGCCAACCAGCTCCAAAACCAGTGTGCCAACCAACCCTAATGTCAGTGTGCCAACCAGTTCAAAAATCATTGTGCCAAATAGCTCTAGCATCAGTGTGCCAACCAGCCCTAAAATCAGTGTGCCAACCAGCCCTAACATCAGTGTATCAACCAACCCAAAATCAGTGTATCGACCAACCCAAAATCAGTGTGCCAACCTGCCCTAACATCAGTGTGCCAACCAGCCCTAATGTCATTGAGCCAACAAACCCCAAAATCAGTGTGCCAGTCAGCCCCAAAATTAGTGTATGGACCAGCCCCAAAATCAAAAAACAAACAGTGTGGCTTAGATTCAACGACACAATGACACTATTCCAGCCAATCAGCAACAGGGGGCACTCCTGCTCGTGCACAGAATGGGGAAGGAGAGAGGCTATGTCTTGAACTGATGCGTCATCAAAGAGGAGAAAATCTGAAGAAATTACGACCCTGTTTACACCTGCTGTTTCTCACACATGGAGTATTAGAAGTGTATCTGAACTGAGATTATCCACATAAAGATGCAGCTGTAAACACACAAAACACAGATAAATCTGATCACTCAGACAAGTTCAGTTTGAGTTTCAGCCTGAGATATGTTTTAGCCAGATGGTGTGCATCCGTTTCTCCAAGCAGCACTCGACAACCAAAATTCCACCATCCCTAAGACTCCTCCCCCTGCTGTTCTGTCCAAAGGCATGACTCCGCCCACTACACCTCCGCTAAATAGAGTCTTCCCTGTTCCTTGGCTTGGCCGTAAGCTCCTGATCTGAGTTTACGGCGGGAGCCATTACCGTCTCTAAACGTCACGCTTAACCGCACCAGAGAGAGACTGAGGCAGTAAATGTGGGTGGAGCTTCAGCTCCAGTCAGCAAATCCAGTCACATTGAAATGTCAGGTGTAGACATCTCAGTGTCCACTCACGGTCAGACGGTCGTCAATATCAGGACTGAACTGAGAGTTAAATTGTGATTAATTGCAGTTCAGACCAAAACAGAGCAGATAGAGTGTGTGTGTGTGTGTGTGTGTGTGGGTGTGTGTGTGTGTGTGTACTGCCGTGTGGAATTATTCCGTCCATCCTCTCTTTCTCTCTCTCTCTCTCTCTCTATTCTTCCCCTCTCTCTCTCTCTCTCTCTCTCTCTCTCTCCATCACTACATCACTCCATCACTCCAGCACCATTACTGCACTCATCCATCCGCTCCCTCTCACCCCCTCTCGCTCGCCCAGCTGATTGCTGCTCTCTCTCTCTCTGTGTTCAGGGCTCTGAGTGGGCTGGATAAGGACGCAGACCTGGTTCACATCGAGGCTCAAACTCACTCTGGACGTCAGTCTATACATCACTGTCTTTACTGCCTCTGTCTCTCTCTCTCTCTCTCTCTCTCTCTCTTATTATCTCTCTCTTTTTACCTCTATTTATATCTCTCCCTGTCTCTCTATTATCTCTCTCTCTGTCTCTTTCGTTCTTTATTATCTCTCTCTTTCTCTCTCTCTCTCTCTCTCTCTCTCTGTCTCTATTATCTCTCTCTCCCTCTCTCTTTATTATCTCTCTCTCTGTCTGTATTATCTCTCTCCCTCTCTTTTTATCTCTTTATAATCTTTCTTTTTATCTCTATTTATATCTCTCCCTGTCTCTCTATTTTCTCTCTCTTTATGTGTCTCTCTTTAACTCTCTCTCCCTCTCCCTGTCTATTTCTCTCTTTATCTCTCTCTCCCTACTTCTCTCTCTCCTCCCATCTCTATTATGTCTCCTTCTTTTCTCTCTCCCTCTCTTTATTTCTCTCTCTCTCTCTCTCTTTATTTCTCTCTCTCCCTCACTCTCTGTCTCTCTCTATTATCTCTCTCTCCCTCTCTCTGTCCTCTCCCTTTTTATCCTTCTCTCTCCCTCTCTTTTTATCTCTCTTTCTGTTTTCTCTCTCCCTTTTACTCTCTTTATCTTTCTTTCTATCTCTTTATCTACCTCTCTCTTTATCTCTCTCTCTATATATCTTTATCCCTGTCTCTCTGTTTCTCTCTCTCTCTCTCTCTCTCTCTCTCTCTCTCTCTCTCTCTCTCCCTCTCTCTCTCTCTCTTTCTCTCTCTCTGTCTGCATCATCACTAAAACAGTAATAACAGTAATTGATAAAATATAAATCAGAGATGCTGATGTGCTGATTTTTTGCTAAGTGTGAGTTTTTAAATTGATTAGAAAGTCAGCAAACTGTACACACACACACACACACACACGCACACACACACGCATATGCACACACACACAGACTCACACACACACACCGTTTTATTTTATAATCAATTATCATAATCTAGTCTTACTGCAGTGGCTTTTGTTTAAATTTAATAATCTGTGAAAAGCTGCAGACAGAAGCTGAACATGTTAGAGCTTCACAATAAGGTCGAGAAAATATGAGAATATAAAACACCAGAATTATGATTATTACAGTATCACGCCAGTGTTTAGATTATAATGCCACATATTGCCATGGCAGAACACCTTGTAACATAGTAAAACACTCTGATTGATCAATAATGTAATAATAGTTAAATATTATTCTGCATTATTTTTGCCAAATGAAAGAAGAATTCAAGCAGGGCGTAAATGCATAATCTCTTAGATTTATTATTAATAAACCAAAACAGGAAACAAACACAGTGATCCAGCAAACATGATCACAACGTGGCTATTAATTCTCAGAGACTAACAGGAAACAGGCGATAACACTAATGAGTGGGTGGGGCTACTGAGGAAACTGGACTGGTGGAGCCAGAGCTGGATGACTGTGACTTAAATAAACACCCACAGAGACTCCTCTGGAGCTGTGATTGGACAGAAGCACACAGTAAACAGCATTGTGATTGGAGGGCTTATTGCATATCAACATTGTAAATCCATAATAATGATTAACAAGTGAAACAGCACAAGAACAAGAAAATATTCCATTGCAATGTAGCGGAGGGAACTTAATGTAGATCAGTGTAGATCAGAGCTAAAGGAACTGTGTGTGTGTTTAACCCACTAACACATCCTGGCTGAGCTCATAATGTTTACTACACTGTTAGAAATAAAGGTTCTGCGCAGGTGCATTTTTCGTTTATGAGGGTACAAACGATGTAAGTGTTCCCTCAAACGTACAACAGTGGTTTTAAGTTCCAATTGTGAACCTTAAATACAGTTTTCCAGGTGAAAAGTACATATTTGTACCTTTTCATAACATAATGTTTTAAAACAGAACAATAAGATAATAAGCCTGGAGACGAGACGGGGTCTGTGGAGTCAATACAACTAGACAATATAATTTCAGTGGACTAGAGTACAGTTATGTTCCCTCGCTAAAGGTACTGAGATGTACCCTTGAGGGTTCCACCCCAGTGACAGTTTAGTACCTTTATTTCTGAGAGTGTAAAGGACCCCTTAGCTGTTTCTCTTCCTGTCTTTTAAGGTCTTAAGGATTTAAGGTCTTAATTCATGAAGCAGACCCCCCCAGTCCCACCTGTAATTTAGTAGAGCAGAAACAGTCAAACTCAGACGCTGTGATTGTCTTCACTATTAACTGCTAATCACTGTTTCAGTATTCAGACCCTTGAACACTGTTTCAGTCAGAATCTAATCTAATACAATTTTATTAAATCTGATCTAATTTTCAACACAAATTTCACCTTTAACAATGACCCCAGCACTCCCCCTGCTCCCCCGTCTGCCCCGGCTCACACCCGGCCCTGGTGCTCCCTCTGACTCTCCCCACTGCCCCACTCCCTTGTTGCTTCCCCTTCAATTACCCACCCCTGCACTCCCTCCCTCTCCTCCTACAACTACCTGCCCCTGCACTCCCTCCCGCTCCCCCAACAACTACCCACCCCTGAACTCCCTCCTGCTTCCCCTACAACTACCCACCCATGCACTACCTCCTGCTCCCCAATAACTACCTGCCCCTGCATTCCCTCCTGCTCCCTACCTACAACACCCCACCCCTGAACTCCCTCCCACTCCCCCCACAATTACACTCTTCTGCACTCCCTCCCAATCCCCTTACGATTACTGCCCCTGCACTTCGTCCTGCTCCCCCTACAACTACCCGCCCCAACACTCCCTTCTGCTCCCCCTACAACTACCCACCCCTGAATTCCCCCTCGCTCTCCCTACAACTACCTGCCCATGCACTCGATCTCACTACCCCTACAACTACCTGCCTCTGAACTCTCTCCTGCTCCCCCTACAACTACCCGCCCCTGCACTCCCTCCTGCTCCACCTACAATTACACCCCTCTGCACTCCCTCCTGCTCTCCTGCTTCCTCCCACTCCTCCCACTTCCCCATGCCCACCCATTACCACCTGCCCCACTCTCCCCTGCTCTCCTGACTCCCGTCTACTTTCTCCCGCTCCCCCTTCCTCCACCCACTCTCCCACTATCACCCACTCTGCTCCCCCTTCTCCTCGCTGTGTGTATGTGTGTGTGTGTGTGTGTGTGTGTGTGTTTATCCACAGTGTATCGAGTCTGAGACAGTGTGTGTAGAAATACTGCCCTCAAACACACTGTCCCACAAACACATCCTTAAAAACACCCCCTCCTGTCCATCTGTTTCTCCTCCCCATCTATCTCTACTGTCATGTTGATGGATGGATGGATAGATGTGGAGAGAAACAGACTGATAATGGAGTGTATTGATTGATTTGAGTTGCCATGAAGGTAGTGTGTGTGTGTGGGTGGGTGCTGTTGTACTCTTTTTGTAGAGCCCCACATGTCCCCATAATATTACAAAAACAACTAGGCAGATTTTGCTTATATTTATTGTGAATTATGCATTTTCACAAAAAACAAATGGAAAAAATGTTGTTGGTAAACTTGAGCCATACTGCAGTAGCTAGTGCTGCAAGCTACAGCTTTAACTTAGCTAGCTAGCAATGCTAAAACAGCTGAAGCTGGTGAACCTTCTACGTAGTTCACCCCTAAAAAGAAAAACTCCCCCTAAACTAACCTAACAGTGTGACCTTTCACACACATGCAACATAAATATCTTTACCAATGAATATCTGACTCTAAATGTAGGTATTGTGATATAAACTGAACCTGTTCTTCAGTTTCTCATTAGATTGAATGAATAACTGACTCTACATGTAGGTATTGTGATAAAAACTGAGTCTGTTCTACAGTTTCTATTAGGTTTTAATAGGATTGTTAACAGTGTTCTGTAAAACTCGACTGGTATCAGTAGCTATGAAAAAACACATTTGGAAGATTGCTGAATAATTCTAGTTATAACACGTGTTAATATGTGTGTGTGTGTGTGTGTGTGTGTGTGTGTGTGTGTGTGTGTGTGTTCCAGTAATGCAGTATGTAACGTGTCGAGCTCAGAGATGTTCTGAGGGGAACAGGCAGTACCCCTTCAGCAGCAGGATTGATACCAACTCTCTGGTGGTGCAGGACGAATACATCTTCCTACAGGTACATACACAGAGACAGTGTGAGTGTGTGCATATGTAATTGTGTATGTATAGTGTATGTAATTGTGTATAGTGTGTGTGTGTGTGTATATAATTGTGTATATATATATATATATATATATATATATATATACACATATATATATACACACATTATATATATATATATATATATATATATATATATATATATATATATATATATATAGTTGTGATGCTGATGATGCAGGACATCAATAACATACACAATGATGGCATGCTACAATAATTTACTTTTCTGTCATTTTATTGTAATTGTTTGGATAATTCACATTAAACAGAGTGCAACATACTGTGTTATAATGTGCTACGATGTGCTGTAATGTGTCATTCTGTTCCATAGTGTGTTATAATGCAGTAGTAGACAATGTTCACATATAACTGACACACAAACCTGTGATGCCTTCTCTTCTCCATTCACTTCTGGATCAACTTTAGCAAAGGAGCTAAGTGGCAACCAATCAGATTGTTGATTGTTGATATGTGCTGCTGTAATCAGTTTCAAAAATAATTATCAGTTCTTCTTCTGTAAAGTCTCTGTTCTAGTGTGGTTCTGCGCTCTTCCTCTCATTAACTGAGATCTTACTTGTCTCCTCTTCTGTCTTCAGTGTGAGAAATGAGGAACAGTCACTCTTTACACCAAACTCTTGGGAAACTTGGCGAGTTTTCAGATTTACAGATACGCTGCAGCACATTGTAAAGTTTTTTCAGAGGAGTCCGGGCAGAGTTACAGTTTCTAGGCTATGAAGGACCAACTGGGTGAACCAGTCTGCTACAGCGGCACCCTGAGGCAGAGCAGTGCTGCAGCTCTAGTCAGTTAAGAACAGCAAAGACAGAAGCTGATTGTGGGTGAAGCAGATAAACAATGAGCTTCGCTGAATCTGTATTTGAGCGTCTGTTTTACTCAAATGGACAGCATAACATCATAATAAGTGTGTTTTCAGGGACCCTCAGAATTTTGACCTTGAGACATTCAGGGGGTCCAAGATGTTAATTAGGGATTCCTGGACCCCCTAGAACCCCCTTATTTAGCTCCTTGGCTGTAACTGACTGTGTCACACCCATGGTCAAACACCCTGAGATTCAACACTGAGTGGGAGACATAATATCTGATCCAACTGATTTCAACTGACCTCACTGGAAACTCATGTTTTTTCATTCATTTCTTGTCTTACATCTCAGCTCCTCCTCACAGATATGTGCTGAAAAATCTATAACTTGTACTTAAATGCTGTTTCAATTGGAAATTGTACAGCACTGTATGTAGGAAAGTTTAAAAAGCTGTGTGTGTGTATGTGTGTGTGTTAGAAGCTGATTCTATATCAGTGTGTGATGATTGTGGGTGACTTTGTTTTGACTTTCGTTGTTGAAGTGTCTGGATTTAAGTTGACGGAGAATAATGAGTGTATCGATCTGAACAGCACAACCAGTGTGAATGAGAGTGTGTGACACTCCCTCAGGAAAAGACCGCTACACACCTTGAACACACACCACATTCACACACCATCGATCAGAATCACACACACACACACACACATTTGGTGTTTTTCCTCTAATCAGTGATGTGTTGCGGATAGAATGTGTGTGTGTGTGTGTGTGTGCGTGTGTGTGTGTGTGTGTGTGTGTGTGTGTGTGTGAATTGATTGAGTCTGATGAGAATACTTTTGTGTCTAACAGATCTTTTTCTCTCATTGTTTCCTCTGTGTGTGTGTGTGTTTGTGTGTGTGTGTGTGTGTTTAGTTGACCAAAGCAGGTCGGACCACCTATTTTGTGTCATTTCAACGAGGACCCTTCAAACACATCCAGCTACCCAAATACTGCCTCCCTAAAGTACGATCCACCCCCTCACCTGCACCATCACCTACATTGACCTAGACCATCAACCACAGCAATCTACACCATCAACAGCAGCCACCTACAGTCACCTACACCATCACCTACATTGACCTTCACCATCACCTACAGCATTGACATACACCCAATGGCAACTGTGACTTTTGTTTCCACTGAACTTTCAAAATGATTAAATACACACATTTATCATTTCTACGCCACCAATAGTAATCTACACGGTCAGCTACACCATCACTTACATACACCAAATACTATCAGTCCTCTACAGTGACCTACACCATCACAAACATCAACACCTACACCCTCATCTACACCATCACCTACACTATCACCTTCACCCACACCATCACTTATATCCTCACCTCCTTCCTCACCCACACCATCACCTACACCCTCACCTATACCATCACCAACATTATCCCCATTATCCCCTCGTCACCTATGCAGTCACCTACACCATCAACCAGAATCACTTACACCTTCACCTACACCAGCATCTACAACCTCATCTACACCATCGCCTACACCCTCACCTACAGTGACCTCTGATTGTTTAAAACTACACCTTTACAATTACAGGCACTTCAAAATTAGCTATTTGGGTACAACTACCACATTTAGCTTTAGGTTAATTAGAATAAGGAACTGCAACTACCAGACAGACAGATTTTAGCACACTGCACTTGAAATAATCATTTTTGTCTCTGTTGAACTTTCAAAATGATAAAATACATACATATATGATTTTCTCTGCTTGTGAACTCAACACTGCATAAATTTAACAAAGCATGACCACTGCAGTCTGTGTGTGTGTGTGTGTATGTGTGTGTATGTAGGACATGCACATTATCAGTACAGATGATGGTCAGGTTTTGGCGGCGGTTCAAGAGTGGAACGAGAACAACACGTACAGCCTCTACATCTCCGACGCTCCCGGAGTTTACTTCACCCGCTCACTGCCCAACCTGCGCACGAGCCGCGGAGCTGCCGGAAACCTCATCGTTGATGTCTACAAGGTGTGTATCTCTCGTTTTACGGGAGATGTGCTGTATAAATGAAGAATAAAGAAGGTTTCATGTTCGAAGAAGGTTATAAGGTGTGAGTCTGTCATTGCAGACATTCACATTTATGATATTTCTGTGGTCTGTAATGCATGTTGTTGACATTTACAAGAAACATATAAGTTATAAACGTTTACAAGATGTGCTATGTTCATAGTAAACATTTAAAAGGTGTGTTTTGGCAGTCATAGATGTTTTTCAGGTGTGTAACAGTCATCTGTTTTACACTGAAAATAGCTAATGCTAACTAACACTTCTAAATGAAAGGAGCTAACATTTGATAACTCTGATGACCAAAAATAGATCATGCTAGTTGATGCTGCTAACTGAAAAGAGCAAACGATTGCTAACTCTGCTGAATGAAAATAGCTAACACTTGGTAACTCTGCTAACTGTCCTGCTAGTGTGTTCCGTCGTGAGTGAACAGCTGGACTTCTTCTCCTCCCTGTCTAGAAAGTAAAAGACACACAGCACCACCTAGTGTACTGCAGTAGCAGCTGTTCAGAGTTCAAGCCTTTGCAGCTAATAAAGGAGGAACGGAATGGTGTAATAATTTTATCAAAAATACCCCAAACTGAAAATATTAATCTGAAAAATATTTAATTTCAGTAATTATTATTCCATCATATGTTTTAGGTAGACACATGGGAGTTGGGTTTGGGTATCTGTTCAGTGAAAACAGAATGAAGTTTTGAGGTCTGTTTAAAGAGTAAATGTAATCGTTAGTGGCATGAAAGCTGTACAACGCATTCCTGATGCTGTGTGTGTGTGTGTGTGTGTGTGTGTGCAGGTGGGCGGAGTGAATGGGATGCTGATAGCCAATAAGAAGGAGGATAATCAGATGAAAACGTATGTAACCTACAACAAGGGACAGACGTGGAGTTTACTGCCTGCACCAGCCAAAGATGCCTCTGGACAGGACATCAGCTGCAGCCTGGTCGGTGAATAGCTGGACTTCACAGCCCATGCCCACCACTGCATTAAACCACAACCATCATAGCAATAAATCACTCCCATCCAATCACTAAACCACACCTACTGCATTAAACAGCACCTGCCATCATATTAATTCAGTCCACTGCATCACTACACTACACCCACAATACTGAACCATGTCTACATCCACTCACAGTAAGACATCTAAAACAATCAAAACATGTTTGAAGCTCTGTAGAAGCAGTTACAGTCTGGCCTGAGCTGTGCATCAGTGGGTTCTCATCTGTTCCACCCAAAAATTGAATCTAATGCACTTACCAGATTTCTTTATGACAAAGGATCAGCGTTTGTTAGTCATTTTAATACAACTTGCCCAAAGAGCAACCAGATAAATCACACCCACCATAACATTAAAACACACCCACCACCACATTAAACCACACCCACCACACCCACCACCACATTAACCATACCCACCATAACATTAAACCATACCCACCATTACATTAAATCACACCCACTGTGACATTAAACCACACCCATCACCACATTAAACCACACTCACCACCACATTATACCACACCCACCACCACATTAAACCACACCCACCATTACATTAGTCACACCCACCACCACATTAAACCACACCCACCATAACATTAAACCACACCCACCACATCTGCCATAACATTAAATCACACCCAACACCACATTAAACCACAACCACCACATTCACAACCATATTAAACCACACCCACTACATGAGTTGCCCACCACAGCATTAAACCACTCCCAGCATTATATTAAACCACACCCACTACGACAGTAAATCACACCTGATATTGCAGTAAACCACATGCACCATAAGCTATAAACCATGCTTGCCATGGCAGTAAACCACACCCACAATAAGCTCTGCCCACCACAGCAGTAAATCTCAACCTTTACGAAAGAGTCCAGCAGCAGTAATTTGATTTCTCTCTCTCTCTGATTAAATAAAGGACGTTCTCTCTCTGTGATGTTTTAATTAAGACGTGTTTTTTCTCTCTGTGTTCGTATCTGATGATTGTCTCGCTCCTCTGAGATTACACACTTCAATTAAACAATTGAGGTTAATTTATCAGCACATCGCAAGAAGTTTAATGACTTTTCACTGTACGCTGAAGGATGCTGAGGATGAGACCGGCTTTGTATCCACTCTGCTGATCAATCTGTGTGTGTGTGAAGAGATGAATCAGGGTTTTCTGTGTTTTCTGCTCTCAGCAGTGTGCAAAGTGACTAAATAAACTCCTGAAACAGTGTAACAGTCTGAGGAGGAGATGAGTGGATAAAGTGTGAGTCAAATTTATGAAAAACTGCAAAACCCAAACAAACAGAGAACACTGATAAACCGAGTTAACTGGGTTCTGTTTGATAGGACCACTATATCAGTCGACAACACACCTGAATTAAACCTTAGATTAAGACTGCAGATTATCATGCGAAGTTTATGGCTACACCCACTAACTACACATAACCACACCCACTAAGCACTCATAGCCTCACCCATTGACTGCACATAGCCACACTCTCTAACTGAGCCTTCCCCATGCACTAAATGCGCATAGCCCCACCCACTAACTACACACAGCCTCACCAACTTGCTGCACATACCCTGCCCTCTTACTTCACATAGCCCTGCCCACCAACTACACATATCTTCTCCACCAACTGCACATAGCCCAGCTCACCAAGTGCACATATTCCACCCACAAACTGCACATGGCCCCGCCCATGAACTGCGGATACTCCTCCCACAAACTGCACATAACCACACCCACTTACCACACATAGCCTCACCCATTGACTGCAAATAGCCACACTCACTAACTGAGCCTTCCCTATCCACTAAATGCACATAGCTCCACCCACTATCTACACAAAGCCTCACCAACTTAGTGCACGTTCCCCGCCCACTGACTTCACATAGCCCCGACCACCAACTGCACATGCTCCACCCACTAACTGCACATACCTCATCTATGGTTCCTGACCCCCACTCCCCAATACTGAACTCTGACATTCCCAGGGACTGTTACACACCCATCACTTTCTGTTATGCACTCATCACTTTAACTGCTCCATAAGCTCATTCCAATTTGCACTACTGTTTATATTTGCACTATTTATACCCACAAACCTTAATCTGTATGTGCCTTATGTCACTTTAGTGTTAATTTCAGGACCTTCTTATATTTATATTATTATTATTATTATTATTATTATTATTATTTTCTTTTTTTTCTTTTTATTATTCTATTTTTCTACAATTAGTGTTTATTTTGTTTATGATTAGTGTTTAGTGTTTACACCATGGGGTCTGAGAGTAACGCAATTTCAATACTCTGTATGTCCTGTACAGTAGTACAGTATTGACAGTATTGACAATGTAGTATTGACAATGAAAGCTGACTTGACTTGACTTGACTTGACTATCAACTGCACATACACTTCCTACTTACTGCACATAGCCCAGCCTACCAACTGCACATGCTCCACCCACTAACTGCACATAGCCCTGCCCACTGACTGCACATAGCCCCGCCTACAAACTATACATAGCCTATCCCACTAACTGCACATAGCCTTACCCACCAACTGCACATACTACACCCACTACCTGCAAATATCACTGCCCACTAATGACACATAGCCCCACCCACTAACTGCTTGCTAGTGATACTGATATAGTAAAAGGAGCTGAGAAGTAAAAAGTCTGCCAACAATCTCAGTGATGAAGACCTGGCTGAGTTTATAAATGCAGTTCTTTCACCAAAACACCCTACAGGTGTAATATTTTTCCTGAGTTAGTGAAAATATAACCTATCACTGTCTGTTTTGCGTTGTACCTTCTCACACATGTACATCTAAACAGTGTCATCCTGAGGGTGAAAGGTGATCAGTAACTTCACTAACATAAACAGCAGCTGCAGTGAGGATTCACACAGAGTTCTTGATTTCCATACAGGTTCTAGATCTCGTATGTATCAATACTTCGTGCTGTCTGTTTTCTGATGTCTTGCTGTTTAAACATGAACACTTTATGTTGTCACTGTAATTTTTTAAGGGAAAGTGAAGGTAAATTTGAACTTGAATTTGAGGAGTAAAATGTTAAAGCAGGACCGAAGCAGTTGGATCATGGTGAGCTGCGTTCTCCTGATGTTTCCAGCTGTGCTGTTGAAGGAGCAGCATGTAATTATACTGCACTGACAGTAGGAGTTTTCAGGATCAGTCGTGCTTTATTTTCATTCGTGTCTGGTTGCTGTAACTGTGTGTGTGTGTGTGTGTTTGTGCAGCCGTCCTGCTCCCTCCACCTTCACCTGCAGATGTCTGAGAACCCCTACACACCTGATACCATCCTAACCAAACACACTGCGCCAGGACTCATCATCGCCAGAGGTGAGAGTGACATTCCATACACGTCTGACACCATCACCGTCAGCCTACGGTCGCGCTCAGACAGAATTTCAGATGTGAATCGTGAACTCTGTTGTGGGTCAGACACGGCCAGTGTGATCGTGTGTAGGTTTTTGTTTTTTTTAACTTTTTATAAATTTCAAAACTGTGTGTCTGTGATTCTCTCAGGTAACGTTGGACCCGAGCTGTCCTTCACACACTCCGGCATGTTCATCTCCTCCGATGCAGGAAACACCTGGAGACAGGTACACACACACACATACATACACAAATGTTTGTTTCTATCAGTTGTGGGGAAATTAAATAGACTTTCATCCATTTCCTGAAGACTGTCCCAAACCTCACCCACAACTACTACTAGCCTAACCTTAACCTTAACCATAGCTTTAACTTTACCCTAACCTTAAAACATGTCTTCACCTTAAAAAGACTTACATTATGGGGACCAGCTTGTGGTCTACATATAAACAGGTTTAGGTCCCCACAATGTGGGATAAACCTGGTACACACACAACCCCATATGTTCTGTTTGACAGCAAATACCAAAACACTAAAACATATTTAAAAACAAGATATTTAAACTCTGAATGGAGTGACTGTTGTAGAGAGTCTGAACATACATTACAACTCTACATCACAAAAACAACCAAACACTTGCAACAAAATGGCAAATAGATTATTAAAATAAAAATATCAGAGATCTCAAAAGCATGTTATTAGACAAACATTGAATGAATCCAATAACAGTGACCAGCCACCCAATGACTGAGTAACAGCTCAGGTAGCTGGTGCTTTACAGTTACCCAATTAACCAACACAGTGCAGGATTAAATGGTTCCCTGAATGGTGAAATGGTTCTTCAGATTGATGGAAAGTGTGTTGCGTATGAGTTCATATAGTATCAAAAGGGTTTTACTGTTATTACAAGCTTGACATTGTAACAATAACAGAACCCTGTTTGGTGCTATACACAACACACTCTCCATCAATCTGAAGAACTGTTTCACCATGCAGAGAACCGCTTAGGCATGAAAAAGGTTCTTTAAGTGCTCATGGTGCTATATAGAACCATTGTGCTTACTAAAGAACCCTTAAAGAACCAACTTTAGGAGTGTATGGCTCTCAGTATTGCCTACATCTTTAATTCTCCCCAGCAAGATGCGGAAAAAAATGTTAAATAATCAGACAAGCTTATATGATAATTATATTATAATAAGCTCCTAAAGCTCATAATTAACATATTTCCCCATATTTATACCCATTATGTTATAATTTATTTATTTATTGTTTTCCCTCTCTGCTTTCCTCTTTTCTTTTCAAACAAAATCATTCCTATACTGAGCCTCACTCCATCTGACTCTCACACCATCCCAGTGTCATCTGCATCAATATTTCACTTATTACAAATTAAATTGCCATGAATCCCATCAGCCCGTCTAAACGTATATATTTTTCTCTACACGCTGAGATATCGATACATGCATTATGTATCATCACCTTCATAATATGGGAACATTTTCTCTGCTGATGTCTGCAGATTTTCAACAGACCTTTAAAACTTTACAGCAGAGATCTCCAACTTTACTGTCTACAGTCACTGCTGATCGAGTAAACATGTGGAGATGTCCATCATTTTATATTATAACTGTTATTTTCTGTATTCCTGGTTTTATTGTGATGGTCATAGTCATTATTTACCAGCAGAAGCTCAGCAGAGCGAGCGGTTAGAGAGGAGTAACGCTGACTGAGGACGTGGAGGCTGAAGGGGGAGATTTAAAACAGTGAACTGTGTAAAGAGACTGTAATAGTTTAATATTTCATTACTGTAAATATTCTCCTTCTCTGGAGCAGCTTCAGCATAAATGCTGAATGATGGTGCTCAGCAATATTCAGGCCAAAACCCCATTACAGTTTGGCTGCTTTCACTCTGGGACGTTTTCCCCACAAAATAACTTTAGATATTCTGATTTATTGATCAGTGTTGCCTTTGGGACTGACTTGCTATGGTTTAGCCCCACCCATTCAGCCTACAGCAGTTTAGCCCCACCCATTCAGCCTACAGCAGTTTAGCCCCACCCATTCAGCCTAAAGAAGTTTAGCCCCACCCATTCAGCCTATAGCAGTTTAGCCCCACCCATTCAGCCTAAAGCAGTTTAGCCCTACCCATTCAGTTTACAGAAGTTTAGCATCACCTATTCAGCCTACAGCAGTTTAGTTCATTCACCCCTTGATATAATCTTAATACAGCTTAACAATAACAACAGTAATAGTTAATGATAATGTGTGGTGATGTTTAACCATTGCTGTGTGTGTGTGTGTGCGTGTGTGTGTGTGTGTGTGTGTTTGTGTGTGTGTAGGTGTTTGAAGATGAACACAGTGTGTGGTTTCTGGATCATGGAGGAGCTCTGATGGCTGTAACGCAGGCTTCAGTACCAACACAGCACTTATGGTGAGACACACACACACACACAGCAGTGCTGCTGAAGTTTTTAAGCACCTCAGTGTCGCTGCTGGACTGAGAACCAAAAACATCCAGCCAACAGCGTCCTGTGGGCAGCGTCCTGTGACCACTGATGAAGGACTAGAGGATGACCAACACAAACTGTGCAGCAGCAGATGAGCTATTGTCTCTGACGTTACATCTACAAGGTGGACCAACAAGGTAGTAGTGTCTAATAGAGTGGACAGTAAGTGGACACAGTGTTTAAAAACTCCAGCAGCACTGCTTTGTCTGATCTACTCGCACCAGCGCAACACACACTAACACACCACCACCATGTCAGTGTCACTTCAGTGCTGAGAATGACCCACCACCCAAATAATACCTGCTCTGTGGGGGTCCTATGGAGGTCCTGACCAATGAAGAACAGGGTAACAAAGAATGCAGAGAAACAGATGGACTACAGTCTGAGGCTTGTTTCCATTTTAATATCAGTGCATTGTGTTATAGTTGTATGAATGGACAAAATAATCTTAATCGGATTATAGTTTGATTGATAAACCTGATTATAAAGATCACATGATCTCCACAGAGTGAACACAGTTTCCAATTTTCATCACTGACATCCAGTGAGAGCAACAGTATCCGCATGTTTCAACCAATGAGTGTATATTTATACTCTCAAAAGTATGTGAACACCTGACCATCACACCTATATGACCTTGTTGGACATCCCATTTTACATGGAGTTTCCCCCCTTTGCAGCTATAACAGCTTCTACTCTTCTGGAAAGCTTTCTACAAGATTTTGGAGTGTGTCTGTTGGAATTTGTGCCCATTTAGCCATAGAAGAATTAGTGATGTTGAACGAGAGGGCCTGGCTCACAATCTCCATTCTAGTTCATCTCAAAGGTGTTCAGTGGGGTTGAGATCAAAGCTCTGTGCAGGCCACTGGAGTTCCTCCACACCAAACTGGCCAAACCATGTCTTTATGGAGCTCGCTTTGCACATGGGCTCAGTCATGCTCGAACAGGAATGTCTCTTAACCAAACTGTTGACACAAAGCTGGAATTGTGTAAAATGTCTTTGTGTGCTGTAGCATTAACATCACCCTTCACTGGAACTAAGGGGCCCAAACCCTGAAAAACAGCCCTAGTCCATTATCCCTCCTCCACCAAACTTTACTGTTAGATAGATAGATAGATAGATAGATAGATAGATAGTACAAAGCACAGTAAAGAGCAAAACAAGAGCAAAATGAACAGGAGCAAAGTATTGCTGTACACTATTTATAGATGTATAAATAGAAAGTAAAGATAAATAATAAAATAAAACAATAAAAAATGTGCATGTCCCCTCCAGTGAATTAGCTATTGACTATGTACTGTAACGATAACCTATATTAACAGTTGTGCAATATGACATTTATGGATGCATAAACAAAGTGACAGTGCAATGTGCAATATTTGTGGACAAATAGACATAGTGGCAATGCAATATGAAATATGTATAAATGTATAATCAAAGTGGCCATGCATAATAATGTGAGTGGAGAGATGTAATGTAGTGTCCAGCTGGTGCCCAATGAGGCTGTCTTGTCAGTGGCTCAGTATACAGTAATGTCCCGGCACAGTGAGGAGGTGTTATACAGTGCGATTGCTGTTGGTACAAACGATCTCCTGTACCATTCCTTGCTACAGCAGAGCTGAATGAGTAAACTGTTGGCACTATGTATTCCAGCAGGTAACATTCTCCTGGCATCCACCAAACCCATATTCATCATCAGACTGACAGATAGTGAACCGTGATCCATCACTCCAGAGAACACGTTTCCGCTGCTTCCAGTCCAGTGGCTGTGTGCTTTACACCACTCCAGCCGACACTTGGCATTGTGCATAGTGATCCATTTTGTGAAGCTCCTGATGTTCAGTTCTTGCCAGTGTTTGTCTATCAAGGCTACAAGGCTATGTTCTTAATTTTATACACCTGTTATCATTGGGAGTGACTGAAACAGCTGAACTCAATAATTAGGAAGGGTGTCTTACGTTTGACCATATAGTACATCATATACACAGTCAGTGGTTCAGCTCCTCTGTGATTGTGGCCTTTGACTCTGAATATGATTCATATAGCTGGATTCTTGTTACAGTGGAGGATCTAAAGGGGAACTGGAGCTCCAACCTGCTGCTATCATTTGTTTGCTGCTGGTTGATTTATTTGTAGTTCTGCACTGTACAGTGTAGTCTGCTGAAGGCGTCCTCCAGCACAGCACTAACGTTACTGATCTTACAGAGTATTCTGCTTGCTTACAACTCAACGTACTTCAGTGATGACCAAACCAGCAGCTGGTAATAACTTTGGTTTTTTGTCAAAACATCTATTAATAGAACCTGTTATTTAAAAATTGTACAACCCCATTTCCAAAATGTTGGGCGCTGTGCAAAATGTAAATAGAAACAAAATGCAATTATGTCCAAATCATTTAAACCCTATATTCCACTGAAAATAGTACAAAGATAACATATAAAATGTGGAAACTGAGAAATTCTATTGTTTTTTGAAAATATATGCCCTTTTTGAATTTGATGCCAACAACACGTTCCAAAAAAGTTGGGACGAGGGCAACAAAAAGGCTGGTAAAGTTGTGTAATGATAAAAAAACACCTGGTGGTTAATTAGCAACAGGTTAGTAACATGATTGGGTATAAAAAGAGCATCTCAGAGAGTCTGAGTCTTTCAGAAGTAAAGGTGAGGAGGGGTTCACCACTCTGTGAAAGACTGCATGATCAAATAGTGCAACAATTCAAGAATAATGTTTCTCAACATAAAATAGCCAAGAACTTTTGCTTTTCATCATCTACAGTACATAATAACATTAAAAGATTCCGAGAATCTGGAGAAATCTCTGCATTCAAGGGACAAGGCCAAAAACCAGCATTTGCTATCCATGATCTTTGGGCCCTCAGGTGGCACTGCATTAAAAACAGATATGATTCTGTAGTGGAAATCACTGCATGGACTCAGAAACACTTCTGAAAACCACTGTCTGTGAAAACACTTTGGTGCTGCATCCACAAATGTGATGGAAGTGGAAAAGTATCCTGTGTAAAAGAAGAGGTGATGAAACACAGTGGTAAACATGCCTCCATCCCAACTTTTTTGGAACGTGTTGTTGGCGTCAAATTCAAAATGGGCATATATTTTTCAAAAAACAATAAAATTTCTCAGTTTCAACATTTGATTTGTTGTCTTTGTTCTATTTTCAATGAAGCGTCCCAACTTTTTTGGAAATGGGGTTGTATTTGAACAAGTCATAGCAACAGCGCACTGTAGCAGGCCTTCAGTCAGGATGTATAAAATGCATTAATGGTGCTAAAACTTTGTGGATTATTAATTTATTTATTAATATATATATATATATATATATATATATATATATATTATATATTTGTGTATATATACTTGCATTTTATGTTTGGTTCACTCGAGTTCACAACAACAACAGCGGAATTTCTTACCATATCAAACAGTCTGAGTGCTTTCAGCACAGTATGCGTGTGTGTTTGGAGGCCTTTGTAGTCAGGTGGGCTTTTAACCCAACACTGCAGTTCAGGGTTTGAAACAGGATGTATGGGTTTCACACACTTACTCACACACACACACACACACACACACACACACACACACACACGCATACACGCTCATGCTGCTTTGATGTTCTGGGTTGTGTCGGTTGTGTTTTGCTGTCAGACTCCATTAGTCAGTTGAAGCTGCAGTATTTTAGTGGACGAATACAAGTCCAGTCTGTTCTGATCTACAGCTCGTCTTTGTTTGACCCTCAGACATCAGAAAATATTCAGAACACCCCGCAGGATACATTTACACCACTCTAATCTTCACATTTCACACACTGCTACAGAGAAATCTAATACAGAAACAGGGTACATACTTTTATCCACATTCAGATCCTTGAAGCACCACCAGACGTGCTGCAGCAGCTCATTTAAGCCCATAAAGATAAAATCTTTATTACAGTAATACATTAAATGTGATAGAATAAAATACATACATACATCATGTAAACCGCTTATCCTTCTGGGTCGCGGTGGGGTGCTGGAGCCTATCCCAGCTGTCATATTCTATCACATTTAATGTATTACTGAATTGAACCCAGGCCATTCTTGCTGTGAGGCGACAGCGCTACCCACTGCACCACCGTGCCGCCTGAATAAAATACAGTCATACAGTAAAATACAATACATTCATACAGTACAATATAATACTATTACGTACAGTTATACAATATGAAATAGTCTATGAAACACTGTGATATAGTTGAAAAATGCTGTCATATTGAATTTTATTAATATCATTCAGAACTACTATTTAGATCACAATGAGCTTACTGCTACAAATACATGTACAAGTTCAGACCCCTATCTAGTTGAAGGTTGACAAAAATGATTGTATTAATATAATTTAATTGTGTGTGTGTGTGTGTGTGTGTGTGTGTAGGGTCAGTATGGATGAAGGACGACACTGGGACAGGTTCAGTTTTTCCTCCACTCCTCTGTTTGTGGATGGAGTTCTGATGGAACCACACACACAGAATTACATCATCACGTAAGACAAATCACACACACACACACACACACACATGCACACACACACGCACACACACACACATGCACACACACACACACACACATGCATGTAACTGTTGTATGTCCCTGATCCTTTGTATGACATCATTTTAATGATCATAACACTTCTACACAGTTACACTCTGTTATAATATATACTGTGTTTGTAACACTTTGTAACATTTTAACACTTACTATCATTAACTCTTATTAACATTGTGAAAGACTCTGTGACACTGTATCACTCTTGGATTTCCAAAACACTCTGTAACGCTATACTGTAATAATCCTTATCCCTCTATAACTCTATAACACAATACTGTAATGCTCCATATCCCTCTATAAATCGGTAACACAACACCATAACACTGTATTCCTTTATAAATATATAACACAATACTGTAACACTCTGTATCCCTCTATTTCTCTGTAACACAAAACTGTAATACTCCATATCCCACTATAACTCTGCAACACGAACACTCTTTACCCCTCTGTTATTCCGTTACACAAGAAAACAGTCTATAACACATTGGTATAACAATCTGTATCCTTTTAATATTCTAGTGACCTGTAACATTTTTTTATTACTATTTTGTAACACTCTGCTTACGATGCTGCAACACTGTGACTGACACACTGTAACCCTCTCATTTTGCTGTGTATTTCAGATTTTTTGGACACTTCAGCTATCTGTCTGATTGGCAGCTGGTGAAGATTGATTACAGCACTTTATTCAGCAGAAAGTGCACTGAAGGAGACTATCAGACGTGGCATCTACACAGCAAGGTTTTACATGTTACACACACAGGGATGCTGAGTTACTGCTTCTGCTACACTTCATCGCTTAAATGCCTATATTGTAAGAATAGCTCAGCCTGTTTGCTTTGACATTCTTGTAGTTACTGAATGATAAGCCTTAGTATGTAATAAACCTGAGATCTTAAGGGGTTAATCTTCTCTTCAATTATTGTTGTATGCGTTGATTTCATAGCTTTTCTTCTGCATCATAATATGTAAACATTTTTAACGCTAAAGCTGCTTAAAGTAACATTCACTATAAAAACTATTTGTTTATTTATTGCTATCAGACCAAATAAATTTTCATTCATTCATTCATCCTCTAAGCTGCTCACCCTCCTGGGTAGCGGGAGGAGCTGGAGTCTATCCCAGCACTCACTGGGCAGGAGGCAGGAAACACCTTGGACAGGCCGCCAGTCCATCACAGGGCAGACACACAGACATACACACACACACACACACATTCACTCCTAGGGGCAATTTAATAACTCTAATTAGCCTGACTGTATGTGTTTGGACTGTGTGAGGAAACCCACTCAGACATGGGGAGAACACGTATACTCCACACAGAGAGAACTTGAGAATTTCAGAAGTTAAGTTATGCCATTAACCATAGCTCATCCTGGATTGGTTAGTTGGTCCAGTTCTTGTGCCAAATCCTCACAAAGAGTATCATGATTTTGAACTTTTAGTTGTTGGATGTTTAGTTTGTATTGAACAGAAAAACAACCTGTTCTTTCAGCATCTGACACTGTCTCTACAAACAAAACCACCCCCACACTTCCCCCCACATGCAACAAAAAGGTCAATGGTCACATAAGCCAAATGTGTGTGTGTGTCAGGGGGAGGTGTGTGTGATGGGTCAGAGGCAGGTATTTATGAAGAGGAAGCCAGGTGTGCAGTGTGCCATCGGACCAGACAGCCCCAGAGTGATTTCAGCTGAATCCTGCATCTGCACATTCTACGACTTCGAGTGGTGAGAAACACGCACTCACACACACACATACACACACATACACACACACAGAAACATACTAAAATCTTTAGAACACTGAAGATGAAATTGTTGTTTCCCTCTGAAAGCTCAAAACACTGAAATTAAAGATGATAAGCACAAAGTAAAGCTATCACACACACTGGCTTCATTCTGGAGGAGCAGCTGATCCCTGAAGTTCACATGATTTGCCTTATTCTGACTTCTGTCATGATACAGAGAACCCAATAATTGATCCCTGAGGAAACTTTTCAGTGGAAGGAGCAGTGAATGAATTGGTAAGGTTGTAAATAGAAGAGGGCCAAGAACTGAGCTCCCTTTTGGAAATTAGGATAGTGAATGATTTGTCTAATGGGTGACATGTGAAGTGCTGTGAAAAAGTATATTTCCCCTTCACAGGTTCTTAAATTTTTGCATATTTGAATGTTTCAGATAATCAAACTACATTTAATATTAGACAAAGAAAAAACAAATAAACAGAAAATGCTGTTTTTAAATGATTATTTCATTTATTAAAGGAAAAATGATTTTCAGCACTACCTGGCCCTGTGTGAAAAAGTAATTCAACTGACAAAAGCAAGTCAACTGACTACTGGGTTTAGTTTCACTATCCACACCTAGAGATGATCGATGCCAGACCTGCTGAATCTAAACATCACTTAAACAGAACCTGTCTGGCAATGTGAAGCAGCTAGAAGGTCTCAGAAAGCAGCACATGATGCTACATTCTAAAGACATTCAAATACAGCTGCAAAACAAAGTTTTTGAAATCTGTGAATCTGGAAAGGGTTACAAAGCCGTTACTGAGGATCTGGGACTCCAGAAAACCACAGTGAGATCCATTATCTACAAATAGAGAAAACTTGGTACAGCAGTGAACCTTCCCAAGGGTGACTGGCTGACTAAAATTATACCAAGAACGTATCAACAACTCATCCAGGAGGTCACAAAAGAGCCAAGACAACCATCTAAAGAGCTGCAGGCCTCCCTTGCCTCTGTTAAGGTCAATGTACATGACTCCACAATAAGAAAGACACCGGACAAAAATAGCATTCATGGAACAGCTGCAAGGCACAAATCACTGCTGACCAAAAAAAAACACAAAAGCTTGTCTTGCATTTGTCAAAAATATCTAGATGACCCCCAAGACTTTTGGATCAATATTCTCTGGACTGATGAGTCAAAGGTGGAACTTTTTGGAAGACATGGATCTCGTCACGTCTGGCATAAAGCTAACACTGCGTACCACCATAAGAACATCATACCAGCAGTCAAAACTGGTGGTAGTGTGATGGTCTGGGGCTGCTTTGCTTCTGCAGGACTTGGACAACTTGTCATAACTGACAGAACCATGAATTTAGCTCTCTTTCAGAAAATCCTGAAGGAGAATGTCTGCCTGTCCGTTCATGGCCTAAAGCTCAAGCGCAGTTGGGTTGGGCAGCAGGACAATGATCCAAAGCACACAAGCAAGTCAACCTCTGAATGACTCAAAAGAAACAAAATGAAGGTTTTGGAGTGGCTGAGTCTGTATTGAATCCCATTGAGATGCTGTGGCAAGAACTTAAACAAGCAGTTCATGCTTGAAAATCCTCCATTGTAGCCAAATTAAAACAATTCTGCAAAACAGAGTGGGCCAGAACTCCTCTACAGTGATGTAAAAGACTCACTGAAAATTATAACAAACGTTTGATTGCAGTTGTTTCTGCCGAGGGCGGCACAATCAGCTATTAGGTTTAGGGGGCAATTACTTTTTCATATTGATAGTCTAGATTTTGAATGAATCTTCATCTTCAATAAATGGAATGATCATTTTGTTTATTCATGTTATCGTTATTTTATATTAAAATAACAAATTAGCGAAAATTTAAGAAATCACTTTTTCACAGCACTGTATGTTATAAACAGAAGTGGACCGTGAGCTCATCCTCTTCAGTAACAACAATGCTGAATGATTTGGCCAAAGGATACTTTCTATTATAAATAAAAGGGGCACAAGTATTGATCTCTGAGGTACCCCATGGGGAATGAGGCAATAGATGATAAGGCTAAAGGTTTATGTCTGTTATAAATAGAAGGGAACTAAGAACTAACCTCTGAGGAACCCCTTGGGTACCAGGGGTAGAGAACTATTTGTGTAAAAGGCAAGATAAACAGAAGAGAACTATAAACAAATCCAGGGTCAATGAATGATTCGATTTAGGTTTTGAAATAACGGAATAATTACAATAGTATAAATGAGTACTTGTTTATTTTGCCTTGCAGTCAGTAACTATTCAGGCTGCATTACACTGACACTGTGATGCCCCCCCCCACTCCTCAGAAAGCCTGCAGTCTATTAGACTTTGAGTGTTTGTGGTTCGCAGTCTGTTAAACACAAGGCTGATTGCATGATTATATATTAATTAGTAGATCGATTTGATCAATTTGGAATTCTCTTAAATGAACTCTTTAGTTGCCTGATGTTGTTTTGCTCTCTTCTCTTGGGGTAAAGTGCAGCACCACTTGAAGAATCTATATGCGTTTTGAGCAAATAAACACAATTCTAGATAATCCGTCCTTGTCACTGTAACTGCTAGTCTCCTGTAAAGGTGACTCAGCAGCTTCACTGTCTGAAGGTTGTTTAATTTTTCCTCGTTTTGATCTTTCCATTCTATTGGTTGATGTTTGTCAACATCTTTTCCATCTATAAGAACTTTCTCCACAGCATCTTCTCAGCCTGCTGTGATCTGGCATTTCTCTGGTTGAAGCTGGTGGATTTTTACATTGTGCAGTGTAGCTTTAATAATTAAGCTGTTTTCTGTGGACATTATTCCCTAAAAGGCATTTGGAGAGCTGTAATTTCAGGCTTTTTTATGTTTTTTTCTTCACTTTAAATGAGCTTTAGTAATGTCCTCAGCTCATCTGGTCATTACTTGTTGTTTCTCAGGGAATTGTAAAGTTTAAGTTGTTTCAAAATTTCATCAGCTCAGATATGAGTTATTAATTACTGCATCTAATTAATTCAGTTTTGTGGGCGATAAATAACTTTTATACTGCTGATTAGTGAAAGCGCTGTTATGTCAAAGCCATAAAAACACACAGATGGACATTCTGCTCTTTTCTCAGACTTGTCTTTTCATTTTAAGTGAGAGAAATAAGAGTGTTGTCATCAGCGTTGTGATTCTCCACTGCATGTTCCTGTTTGAGCTGAATTCTCCATGATGCGTCTGCTGTGTGCTTCAGCGCATCACACAAACTCCTGATGAGTGCCATCTGCTCGTAAGCAAATTACGTGCCTGAATGAGAAGCATGAGAAATTACCACAGTGTCAAATGATTAATTATGTCTAAATGAATAAGTAATGAGCATTTAAATGGAAGATAAATGTGGCAGTGATCCCATTAGCCCAGCGGAGCTGCAGGTTAGCGCAGAATTAACAACACACAAACACACTGTTACTGCACCACAAATACACACACACACACACACCTACACACACACATACACATCAGTACAAACCAGTCACAGCTCAGATCAGCTGCATGTCTGAGGTCAGTGATGGGATTTCACTGTCAGGTGGTAAATCTGCAGGACTCAGTAGTGAGCTTTGGAGAGATTGGGATATTTTGGAGATATGAGAATATTTTGGACAGATGGGGATATTTCAGAGAGGTGGAGATATTTTGAAGAGATGGGGATATTTTGGAGAGTTGGGGATATTTTGGAGAGACGGGGATATTTTAGAGAGATGGGGATATATTTTGGAGAGCGGTAAATATGCTGTGAAGGTTGTAGAAAGGGTTTGGGAGCACTGCAGCCTCATCTCAGGATAGAGGAGGAATAAGAGAAACAAACAGGATTAAGGATTTTGAGTTGAGAACCGTTATCAGCCCTGAATGTTGTACTTTGTGCAAGGCACTAGTGAATGTTTTGAGGAGGTTTATAAGGTTAAGGTGACAGATTTAAGTCCATTTCTTGATGCTGAATAACTCCAGATCCCTCAGAACTCTCCCTGGTCCTCATTTGGGTTTTAGTTGGGTTTAGGTCACTCCTGTTTCTAAAATGGCCACTGCAGCTGGATTTTGTGATCACTGAGCTGTTCTGAAGTGGTCATGGAAGAGCTCTCTGCAAGTTTGTCCTGCTGCAGGATGATGAGACACTTTCATTATTTCTGTTAGACTCCAGGATGCTGATGGAGTTTGTGGTGTCATATGATCTAACAGACGTTCCTGAGGTTCCTCAGACATTTTAAAGTAACACTAACATGAAACACCCACCACAGCTTGAGTGTGCTTAATTTCTACATTGACTCAGCTCAGACTTTGTTTTGCTTATCTGACCAGAGTTTGGCTCCAAGCAGAGTTCCAGTGATGTTTACAGAGTATTTTGAGCAGATTTGAGACTTTTTTCTGGAAACTCTTCCAGTCAGCTGTTTGGCGTCTTTTTCATTTTTGGATTTTCTTGGTAGCACAAAATGAAGCCAATATCTGCGGTTCTCCATGGAAATGTTTTTGTTTTCCATCCATCCTCCTTGCTGTGTGTGGGGGTGAAATACCCATGTGCCCTTTTCCAGGAGCTTCATTATATCTCCAGTCTTTTTTTATTTTTTTATTTTTAGTCATTTTCTGAGTTATGAAGGGCAGGAACCTTTTGTCTGCTTTGGTTTGGGAGTTCTCTGACCTTCCCAGAGTTAATGGATGAGTCGGGCAGTTTGACGTGTGTCTCTACAAATAGAAACTCATGAAAAGTTTGACCATGACAGATACATTACATAAAATGTAAATTTACCAAAAGCTGTATTATATTCTCATCCTAATAATTTATAATGCAAGCCAGAAATATATGTATCAAAGAATAAGTATTAATATATTGAAGCTGAATCTCTTTCTCTTTTTCTACAGGAAATAAAGGATGAAACACTAAACAACAGACAAAATAATATTTTAAATGGTCTTTATTCTAATTTCTTTTGTGCTGTTCATTAACATGATGTTTACGCGGTTTTACTGCTTTCATTAAATTCCAGCTTTTTGAAGATTACTTTTACTCTTCAGCTGTTACTCTGTATTCGATCTTCTGTAGTAGATCTTTGGTGTACATGCTAGATATAAAGTCTGAAACAAACTGACCTCCTCATTTTTAAGCTGAAATGTTACGTCATGCTAAGGCTTCTCGGTTTGCAGATCATTTTCATCATTTACAGATTTTCCTTAAACAGATCTGCATTTGGCTGAATCTTTCATGGCCAAACTGAAGTATTTAAGTTCATAAAGTTCATAAACCTGCAGGCAAAATCTTGAAATATTAAAAAAAACGCTCGATTAACTGCACCAAAAGAATCAATTTCATAAATATGCATTCTGTTTAATTCAATGCAGTTAAATTTATATAACAGACTTTAATATTTTAATATGTGACAAAATCTTACATTCATTACTGTGCTTGATGACACCAGACTGCTTATGTGTGTAAATATCACAGTGTGAGTTCAGAGTGCGTGTGATGGCAGTATGATAGGTCTGATTGAGGTAGGAGAACACTGAGAATTAGGGCTTGAGGTCTGGGTGGCTTCTACTTGGGGTTAGAAGGGTCCCCACAAACCCTACCCGCCCCCCCCCCACCACCCCCAAGCCCCTTGTTAACCTATGGTAGGACTGATTTAGGACTGAGGAACTGGGAGGAGGTGGGGTGGTGAGAATTATGAAAGCTTTGTCATGGGATACAGGAGACAGGAATGGAAATTTATTGAGTGTTAGACTGGAAGAAGGAGGGGTTACAGGCATGATCCTCCCCCCAATTTTCAGCTATTCCATAACTCCATTAACCCCTTAAATGTCCAGGGTCCACCAGCAGGCCCAAAGTTTTATTACACACTTCTATAATCTAAGAATAGCTTAGCCAATTTGCATAGAAGTCCTTGTAGTTACTGAATAATAAGCCACAGTATGTAATTATTCCTGGATTATAAAGGGTCAAATACGAATTTACTGCTGGAAAGGAAAGATCAAGTGTCGGATTAGGTCTTGGTTCTGCAGTGGGTCAGTGGGAGGGTCAGAGCTTTTAGGTGTGTGTTTGTGTTTAAAAGGCTTTCAGTGCTGAGTCAGTAAAGAGCTGCTGTTTTAAACTCTAAACCTGCTGAAGCTGTTTTTTCTGTTCAACACTGAAAATCTTTGTTCTCTCCTGCAAAACATATGATTTGAAAGAGGAAGCTACTGCAGTCAATGTTTTATTTACAGTTTACAGTGTGTTTTTACATCTGTCACATACAAACAAGGAAATCTTTATGCATTTAAAATACATATTATTACACAATTAAAATTATACTTCCAGGAAGTCATCAATGATTTAACCGTCTGTAGTCTGAGGTGACCATATAATTCTAGATTTGTTCATATCTTCTTAAATTCTCCTTTAAAGGCTCTTTATATAGCATGATACTCATATACTATATTGCCAAAAGTATTCACTCACCCATCCAAATCATTGAATTCAGGTGTTCCAATCACTTCCATGGCCACAGGCGTATAAAACCAGGCACCTAGGCATGCAGACTGCTTCTACAAACATTAGTGAAAGAATGAGTCGCTCTCAGGAGCTCAGTGAATTCCAGCGTGGTACCATGATAGGATGCCACCTGTGCAACAAGTCCAGTCGTGAAATTTCCTCACTACTAAATATTCCACAGTCAACTGCCAGTGTTATTATAACAAAGTGGAAGTGATTGGGAATGACAGCAACTCAGTCACGAAGTGGTAGGCCATGTAAAACGACAGAGCGGAGTCAGCAGATGCTGAGGTGCATAGTGCACAGAGCTTGCCAACTTTCCGCAGAGTCAATTGCTACAGACCTCCAAACATCATGTGGCCTTCAGATTAGCTCAAGAACAGTGTGTAGAGAGCTTTATGGAATGGGTTTCCATGGCTGAGCAGCTGCATCCAAGCCTTACATCACCAAGCGCAATGCAAAGCGTTGAATGCAGTGGTGTAAAGCGCTGCCACTGGACTCTAGAGCAGTGGAGACGTGTTCTCTGGAGTGACAAATCACGCTTCTCTGTCTGGCAATCCGATGGACGAGTCTGGGTTTGGCGGTTGCCAGGAGAACGGTCTTGTCTGACTCCATTGTGCTAAATGTAAAGTTTGGTGGAGGGGGAATTATGGTGTGGGGTTGTTTTTTAGGAGTTGAGCTCGCCCCCTTAGTTCCAGTGACAGGAACCCTTAATGCTTCAGCAGACCAAGAGATTTTGGACAATTTCATGCTCCCAACATTGTGGGAACAGTTTGGGGATGGCCCCTTCCTGTTCCAACATGACTGCGCACCAGTGCACAAAGCAAGGTCCATAAAGACATGGATGAGCAAGTTTGGTGTGGAAGAACTTGACTGGCCTGCACAGAGTCCTGACCTCAACCCGGTAGAACACCTTTGGGATGAATTAGAGTGGAGACTGAGAGCCAGGCCTTCTCATCCAACATCAGTGTCTGACCTCACAAATGCGCTTCTGGAAGAATGGTCAAAAATTCCCATAAACACACTTCTAAACCTTGTGGAAAGCCTTCCCAGAAGAGTTGAAGCTGTTATAGCTGCAAAGGGTGGGCCGACATCATATTAAACCCTATGGATTGAGAATGGGATGTCACCTAAGTTCATATGCGTATGAAGGCAGACGAGCAAATACTTTTGGCAATATAGTGTTTCATATCAAAATGCTCTGTTATCTTCGTCACTGCTTTCCAAAACCACTGCAGCAACTTCAGCAGCTGGAAACTCTACACACCATTTCACGTGTCTCCGATGTGGACTGAATGAAGAATGAAGGGTTTCCGGCATGATGGGTCAGTCCTTAATGATTTCTTGAGTGTCCACTGGTCAGATTCACACAAAATGTAGAAGGACACATGAATCCTCCAGTTCCACACGGTGAGAGGCAGATGGCATGTATCTCAGCCCCTTTTCATAGCCTCATAACTCCGGATGTGAGTCACATACGATCTTGTGATAAATGGAATAGAAAAGGGCGACTCAGGAAGTGTTTGAACTGGATTTCTGTGCTGGATCATCACAAAGATACACAAACAGATATAGAAACAGAGAATTTGGCACGTGGACTAGTTCATGGACCCCAGAGGGCTACGGAAGAGGTGTAAATGTGAGTTAAGCTGAAGAAAAATGTGTTTGTTTAGTGCAGGTGACAATGCAGTGGTGGATGTCCCATCCAGTGGATGAACCGACTGACTAAACACTGTAAAGGATAACATATGATAATAGCTGTATATGCCTGGGTGTATAAACAAGTGGCAGTGCAATGTGTAATATTTATGGATGTATAAACGAAGTGAGAACCCCACACAGACACCGAACCCAGCAGGAATTAGTAATAGTAGTTACTCTTATAGCTCAGCTCATCTCAAAGTTTAAATCTGAAAGCTGCTCTGAGAAGCTGACAGTTTATTTCAATAATTAATGAAATTTTGCAGGAAAAATCTCTCGTCTTAAAACAGGCTGTAAGAGAACTGAGGTAAGACAGTTTTAAGACTTTTTATTACCATGACTAAATCATATTCATGCCTGGTTATCTGCTATAAATCATTTTCAGTGCTAACTTTGCCTCAGTGTGACAGACAGATGTTCCCAGTTTAGTCTGTCATGCACTTAAACCCATCACTGACTCTCTGAATGTCCACCTACATGAATATTAGGCTGGATTTGATCAAATAACCCTTGTAGTCCTGTTCAGACTGGCGGACAAATATGTAACACTTTAACACTTACAGATGACTTACTTACTGATGAGCTAGAAACACTAAGATTATGTTTTATTTATGGAAAATGTGTTTTTTTTTTCTGCTGCATGTATTGACATGGGGTCTCACTTCAGAAGAATACGTAGGATCATTAAAATATGCCTGAGTCCACTAATGCATTGTTCTCTGTCTCCATCTCCCATAATTCTTTGCTTTGTAAGTTAATATGTAGCATTTGTGGGAGAATTGAATGCTTAATATTGTGAACATTTCAGTTTCCTGCATCAACTGCTAGTAAAGTTTTCTGTGGTGCCTTTGATGTGAGCCTTTGATTGATCATATGATCCACGTTAGCTTGTCTGCAGTCATCTACTAAACAGTGCTTTAATGGAGACACACCTGCTGGTTTATACACCTGTGTAGCTCCTCCCATCTGCCCTGTTTCCTCGCTGTAAAGCTGAGACTGATCAGTAATTGAGGGTTAGTTGACAGTTTGGTAAAGTGTGATTAATAATGTGCTCTCTCTCTCTCTCTCTCTCTCTCTCTCTCTCTCTCACTCTCTCTGTATCTGCAGTGATTATGGCTTTGAGAGGCAGGTAAGCGGGAAGTGTGTACCAGCGTTCTGGTACGACACACACACACCTGCACACACCTGCAGCCAAGGACACGTCTACCTCAAGACCATCGGGTAACACACCAACTCACACACTCAAACATAAACACACACACCCTAACACATGCACATCCTAACTCACACTCACACACAAATATACACCTATCTCAACAGCACTGGGTAACACAAATTAACATGCACACACACACTTATACACACAAACAAACACACACACACACTCACACTCAAATATGCACCTACCTCAACAGCACTGGGTAACACACAAACACACAAACATACACATACATTAAAATCTGCTTTTGTTGCCTCTGTGTGTGTATGTTTGTTTTGTGGGGAGGTTAAGTGTGTGTTGGGTGTGTGTGTGCATGTGCAGAAATGACTGCAATGAAGGTCATTTTATGTGTGTGTGTGTGTGTGTGTGCAGGTATAGGAGAGTGCACTCTAATAACTGTGATGAGGGTCTGGAGGAGGCTCTGAGCCCCCGACAGCAGCAGTGTGAGGAAACTCCGCCCAGCGGCCTGCAGCTCCAAACCAGCAACACACTGCTAACAGCTAATGTAGGCACCAACGTTACCTTCAGAGTCACTCTACAGCATGTGAGTACACACACACACACACACACACACACACATGCATTAATAACCTGATTGCGGTCAGTCTCAGTGGTCAGCGTATTCTACACGGATTCACTGTCAAGTGGATTTATTTGCTGTCACTTCAAGGTTAGCTCATAGTTTTGCTGTTAGCGCTTTGGCTCTGCACTCAGCACGGTTTGTGTTTTGTAGCTTTGTGATTTACTGCTCTATTTGTTCTTTTTGACTGGCAATGTCTTCAGACCCAAGTGAAGGTTAGCAGCCGATACTCTTGGGCTCTGTGTGAAACAGCCTAAGTAGAAAAAAATATGTAGTGTGCAGTGAGTTTCTTCAGTATGCAGCCAGAGCTGTCTTTCAGATATTATGCATCGCATATTGCAGTGCAATTATTTCAGGAGGACGTAACCATAGGCATATTCGTCTAATGTGTTGGTACATTTTGGCGGTATTACTGTGGTTTTATGATCCTGTAGTACAGCACACAGTTCATGATGGCAATTTAGCATTTTAGCCTTTGATATGTTTTACAATTAAATTTTTTCCATCAATGATTTCGGTATTGGCTCGGCTGAACTGTAAATTAGGGTCTCCCTCAATGTACTCTGAGTTTAAAAAAAGTTTGATTGATCAATTGATTGATTGATATAATTATTACACACTTTAAACAGGATATACTGTTGCTGTATTCAGCATAGTGAACAGTATGCTATTTAGAATACTGTCTCCTAACACTAGAGGGGCAGTTGGGAAGCAGCAGCTTTTGATGAAATAAAAGAGGAAGATTGGTCAGTACCTTAGCAAACAAGTGAGACTTGTGTTTGCATTTGCATTACTAAAACTGATTTTGGGAAAAAAAATCTTGGTATTGCCTATTAAATTCTGGCCAGGATAGCAAATGCAGTTTCCGAAGGTGTGGTATGTAGATCTGATGGACAGCACTCGTCTATGGGTCACTTTGGTTATACCTGTAACCAGGGAATCAAAAAACATCTGGAACTGTAAAATGCTTTTCTTTATTCAACTCTTCACACAGGTGAGATCTTTATAATTTTGGACTCATGTGTTGCAACTTGATTGTGAGGAAGTTAATATTGTTAAATGTTACAGTTTGTTAAAGTCAAGCTGTGAAAAATCTGGTCCAACAAAGACCAGTGAGTGTACCTGTGAAAGATCTGGTCCAACAAAGGCCAGAGAGTCTACCTGTGGAAAATTTGGTCGAACAAAGACCAGAGAGTCTACCAGTGGAAGATCTGGTCCAACAAAGGCCAGAGAGTCTACCTGTGGAAGATCTGGTCCAGGAAAGACCAGAGATTCTACCTGTGGAAGATTTGGTCACATAATAACCAGAGAGTCTGCCTGTAGAAGATGTGGTCCAACAAAGGCCAGAGAGACTACCTATGGGATATTTGTTGCAACAAAGATCAGAGAGTCTACCTGTGGAAGAGCAACAAAGGCCAGAGAGTCCACCTATGGAAGATTTGGTGCAACAAACACCAGAGAGTCTACTTGTGGAAAACCAACAAAGACCAGAGAGTCTACCTGTGGAAAATCTGGTGCAAGAAAGACCAGAGAGTCTACCTGTGGAAGATTTGGTCCAACAAAGACCAGAGAGTCTACCTGTGGAAGATTTGGGCGCACACAGACCAGAGAGTCTATGTGTGGAAGATCTGGTCGAACAAAGGCCAGAGAGTCTACCTATGGAAGATTTGTTGCAACAAAGACCATAGAGTCTACCTGTGGAAGACCAACAAAGACCAGAGAAAAGACCAAGAGAAGACCAACGAAGACCATGGAAGATTTGGTCGCACAAAGAGCAGAGAGTCTAACTGTGGAGGATTTGGTTGCACAAAGAGCACAGAGTCAACCAGTGGAAGATCTGGTCCAATAAAGACCATAGACTCTACCTATGGAAGACAAACAAAGACCAACAGGTCTACCTGTGGAAGACCAACAAAGACCAGAGGGTCTACCTGTGGAAGATCTAGTCCAACAAAGGCCAGAGATTCTACCAGTGGAAGATTTGGTCCAACAAAGACCAGAGAGTCTACCTATGGAAGATTTGGTCACACAAAGGCCAGAGAGTCTACCTGCGGAAGATTTGGTCGCACAAAGAGCAGAGAGTCTACCTGTGGAAGATTTGGTCGCACAAAGAGCAGAGAGTCTACCAGTGGAAGATCTGGTCCAACAAAGGCCAGAGATTCTACCTGTGGAAGATTTGGTCCAACAAAGGCCAGAGAGTCTACCTATGGAAGATCTGGTCCAACAAAGACCAGACAGTCTACCTGTAGAAGATTTGGTCCAACAAAGAGCAGAGAGTCTAACTGTGGAAGATTTGATCGTACAAAGACCAGAGAGTCTACCTGTGGAAGATCTGGTCGAACAAAGGCCAGAGAGTCTACCTATGGAAGATTTGGTGCAACAAAGACCATAGAGTCTACCTGTGGAAGACCAACAAAGACCAGAGAGACCCTGTGGAAGATCTGGTCGCAACAAAAGAGCAGAGAGTCTAACTATGGAAGATGTGGTCGCACAAAGAGCAGAGAGCTACCAGTGGAAGATCTGGTCGAACAAAGACCAGAGAGTCTAACCTTGGAAGATTTGGTCACACAAAGACCAGAGCATCTACCTGTGGAACATATGGTCGAACAAAGGCCAGGGAGTCTACCTATGGAAGATTTGGTTTGACAAAGGCCAGAGAGTCTACCTATAGACGATTTGGTGCAATAAAGACCATAGACTCTACCTATGGAAGACAAACAAAGACCAACAGGTCTACCTGTGGAAGACCAACAAAGACCAGAGGGTCTACCTGTGGAAGATCTGGTCCAACAAAGGCCAGAGAGTCTACCTGTGGAAGATTTGGTCCAACAAAGACCAGAGAGTCTACCTGTGGAAGATTTGGTCACACAAAGGCCAGAGAGTCTACCTGTGGAAGATTTGGTCGCACAAAGAGCAGAGAGTCTACCTGTGGAAGATTTGGTCGCACAAAGAGCAGAGAGTCTACCAGTGGAAGATCTGGTCCAACAAAGGGCAGAGAGTCTACCTATGGAGGATGTGGTCCAAGAAAGAGCAGAGAGTCTACCTATGGAAGATCTGGTCCAACAAAGACCAGAGAGTCTACCAGTGGAGGATTTGGTCCAAAAAAGAGCAGAGAGTCTACCTGTGGAAGATTTGATCGTACAAAGACCAGAGAGTCTACCTATGGAACATTTGTCGCACAAAGGCCAGAGAGTCTATCTGTGGAAGATTTGGTCCAACAAAGACCAGAGAGTCTACCTGTGGAAGATTTTGGCGCACAAAAACCAGAGAGTCTACCAGTGGAAGATCTGGTCCAACAAAGGCCAGGGAATCTATCTGTGGAAGATTTGGTCCAACAAAAGCCAGAGAGTCTACTTGTGGAAAATCTGGTCCAACAAAGACCAGCGAGTCCACCTGTGAAAGATTTGGTCGCACAAAGACCAGAGCATCTACCTTTGGAAGATTTGGTCCAACAAAGAGCAGAGAGTCTACCTGTGGAACATTTGGTGGCACAAAGCCAGAGAGTCTATCTGTGGAAAATTTGGTCCGACAAAGACCAGAGAGTCTACCTTTGGAAGATTTTGGCGCACAAAAACCAGAGAGTATACCAGTGGAAGATCTGGTCCAACAAAGGCCAGAGAGTGTACCTGTGGAAGATCTGGTCCAACAAAGACCAGAGAGTCTAACTGTGGAAGATTTGATCGTACAAAGACCAGAGAGTTGACCTGTGAAACATTTGGTCGCACAAAGGCCAGAGAGTCTAACTGTGGATGATTTGGTGCAACAACGACCATAGAGTCTACCTATGGAAGACCAACAAAGACCAGAGAGTCTACCTGTGGAAGATCTGGTACAAAAAAGGGCAGAGAGTCTACCTATGGAGGATGTGGTCCAAGAAAGAGCAGAGAGTCTACCTATGGAGAATCTGGTCCAACAAAGACCAGAGAGTCTAACCGTGAAAGATTTGGTCACATAATGACCAGAGCATCTACCTTTGGAAGATTTGGTCCAACAAAGACCAGAGAGTCTACCTATGGAACATTTGTTGGCACAAAAGCCAGAGAGTCTATCTGTGGAAGATTTGGTCCAACAAAGACCAGAGAGTCTACCTGTGGAAGATTTTGGCGCACAAAAAGAGCAGAGAGTCTACCTGTGGAACATCTGGCCCAACAAAGACCAGAGAGTCTATCTATGAAAGATTTGGTCGCACAATGACCAGAGAGTCCAACTGTGGAAGATCTGGTCCAACAAAGACCACAGTGTCTACCTGTGGAAAATTTGGTTGAACAAAGACCAGAGAGTCTACCTGTGGAAGATCTGGCCCAACAAAGGCAGAGAGTCTACCTGTGGAACATTTGGTGGCACAAAGGCCAGAGAGTCTACGTGTGGAAAATTGGGTCCGACAAAGGCCAGAGAGTCTACCTATGGAATATTTGTTGCAACAAAGACAATAGAGTCTACCTGTGGAAGAGCAACAAACACCAGAGGGTCTACCTATGGAAGATTTGGGGCAACAAAGACCATAGAGTCTACTTGTGGAAAACCAACAAAGACCAGGGAGTCTACGTGTGGAAGATCTGGTGCAAGAAAGACCAGAGAGTCTACCTGTGGAAGATTTGGTCCAACAAAGTCCAGAGAGTCTACCTATGGAAGATTTGTTGAAACAACGACCAGAGAGTCTACCTGTGGACGATTTGGTCGCACAAAGACCAGAGAGTCTACCAGTAGAAAATCTGGTCCAACAAAGAGCAGAGAGTCTACCTGTGGAAGATCTGGTCCAACAAAGACCAGAGAGTCTACCTGTGGAAAATTTGGTCCAAGACTAGCGGGTCTACCTGTGGAAGATTTGGTCCAACAAAGACCAGAGAGTCTACCTGTGGAAGATTTGGTCCAACAAAGATCAGAGAGTCTACCTGTGGAATATCTGGTCCAACAAAGACCAGAGAGTCTATCTGTGGAAGACCAACAATGACCAGGGATTCTACCTGTGGAAGATCTGGTCCAACAAAGACCAGAGAGTCTACCTGTGGATGATTTGGTCACACAAATGCCAGAGAGTCTACCTGTGGAAGATCTGGTACGACAAATGCCAGAGAGTCTACCTATGGAACATTTGGTGCAACAAAGACCAGAGAGTCTACCTGTGGAAAACCAACAAAGAACAGAGAGTCTACCTGTGGATGATCTGGTCCAAGAAAGACCAGAGAGTCTACCTGTGGAAGATGTGGTCGCCCAAAGACCAGAGAGTCTACCCATTGAAGATTTGGTCCAACAAAGACTAGAGAGTCTACCTGTGGAACATCTGGCCCAAGAAACACCAGAGAGTCTACCTATGGAAGATTTGATCCAACAAAGACCAGAGAGTCTACCCATTGAAGATTTGGTGCAACAAAGACCAGAGAGTCTACCCATTGAACGGTTGGTCCAAGAAAGACCAGAGAGTCTACTTGTGGAGCATCTCGCCCAAGAAAGACCAGAGAATCTACCTATGGAAGATTTGGTCCACAGGTAGACTCTCTGGTCTTTGTTGGACCAAATGTTCAATGGGTACACTCTCTGGCCTTTGTTGGACCAAATATCTGAGAGTATCCCTGTGGAGCATTTGGCCCAAGAAAGACCAGAGAATCTACCTGTGAAAGATTTGGTCCGACAATGGCCAGAGAGTCTACCTATGGAAGATTTGGTGCAACAAAGACCATAGAGTCTACTTGTGGAAGACCAACAAAGACCAGAAAGTCTACCTGTGGAAGATCTGGTGCAAAAAAGGCCAGAAAGTCTACCTGTGGAAGATTTGGTCCAACAAATACCAGAAAGTCTACCCATGGAAGATTTGGTCCAACAAAGACCAGAGAGTCTACCTGTGGAACCTCTGGCCCAACAAAGGCCAGAGAGTCTACCTGTGGAACCTCTGGCCCAGCAAAGGTCAGAGAGTCTACCAGTGGAAGATTTGGTCCAACAAGTACCTGAAAGTCTACCCATGGAAGATTTGGTCCAACAAAGACCAGAGAGTCTACCTGTGGAACCTCTGGCCCAACAAAGACCAGAGAGTCTACCTGTGGAAGATTGTGAGCAAGGGAGTCTAGCTGCAGGAGGTTTGGTCACACCAGTACATTAACCCTGCCCACTTGACTCAAAACCTTGCTTGAATTCACTCATTAGTGGTCAAGTCTTGATTAAGATTGAGTTGCAAGATTTCTCAAGAAACCCACCTTTGAGCCTACAAATTTTCTGAGCTACAGACCTATTGTATTCCTTTCATTTTTTCCCTAATTCATGGAATGTGGGGAATTGGCACAGCTTGCATCCTGTCTTGAGAGAAACCACCACCTTGACATTAACATATAAAGGTACAAACCTCACCTCTCCCTAGGAAGCACACTCTAGAGACACACAGAAGTTCTTCACAAAAGCCAGGGAATATTCCATGTCCTTGGTCTTCATCCCTCCCCAAACTGTCAGCTGCCTTTGCCACTGCTTCGAACCACTAGTTGCTTATTTCAGAACTTTCAGACCACATCTATCACCTGAACATTTAGGTTCTGCATGCAAGCTTAGGTCTTTGGCCAGACGCTTTAGTGATGGTTCTCCTCAGTGGTGAAATCTTATTGTTTGCTATCTGGTGTGGACCACAAGAGGATGGGTTCCCCTTTTGAGTCTTAGTTCCTCTCAAGGTTTCTTCCTCTTGCTCTTAGGGAGTTTTTCTTACCGCTGTTGCAATCGGCAACGCTCATGGGGGCTTGGACCTGGATTTTTTGCATGAAGCTGCTTTGTGGCAACACCTGTTGTAAAAAGCACTATATAAATAAACTTTGATTTGACTTGACTTACAGTGCTACAGAGTATCTATCTATCTATCTATCTATCTATCTATCTATCTATCTATCTATCTATCTATCTATCTATCTATCCAGGGTGACTCTATGTCCACAAGTCTGCATTTGGATTTCGGAGATGGAATATCAGTATCATACTCCAACTTCAGTCGCCTTGGCAACGGCATTAAACATGTATACAGAACAGCTGGGATATTCAGAGTTACTGCACATGCTCAGAACAGCCAGGGCTCAGACTTCGCCTCCCTCTATCTGCATATCACAAGTGGGTTTATACACACACACATACACACATATACATGCACAATGTCATGAGGTCTGTCAAAGTCAGAAAGTCCTTTTAATGTAAGTTCTGCTGTCAGATAAAAGGTTAAGACACTCTGGTATGTGTAGAGACACTGAGTGTGTGTACAGATGTGTGTAATCGATTATAGTGGGTTTAACTGTAATATGCCTGCTACACTGTAAGTATGTGATCTGTGTGTGTGTGTGTGTGCGTGTGTGTGGTGTTTGATTAGGTCCTGTAGAGCGAATCACCCTCTCAGCACCATTGGTGGCCATCAAAGGTCGCCAGACTAACCTGACAGCAGTGGTGTGGCCCAGCCAGCCTGTAACGGCTGCCTTCTACTGGTGGTTCAGCAACAGCACTGAGGTTCAGAACTGCTTATACAACTTTAATCTTAAGTTTAACCCAAACATTAACCTGGAACGCACCCTTAACTGTGTGTGTGTGTGTTCTAGCCGCTGATCACACTGGAGGGAAGTGTATCACACACATTTGTGCAGGAGGACAGGCATCTGGTGGTGGTTCAGGTTTCAGCAGGAAGCTCCGTACTGCAAGACTCTGAAACCATCACCGTTACAGGTACACACACACACACACACACACACACACACACACCCCCACACACAGAGCTTTAAATATCTGTCCACATTTGAAAGAACCCAACCATTCCCATCAGGTTTGGTGGCGTTCTGACACCATTTTAGTTTAAGCTTGCGTTGTAGTTTTTCTCTCTACTTTATTTTTCCTCTTTAATTTTTCTTCATGCTTCATATTAATGATATAGTGTTTAATCTGCAGTCAATTGGGTTGTTGGCAGTAAGTCGTTAAGTTCTATTAGGTCAGCATAAGAACAACAACCATGCATGTGTAGGTTATCTACAGCATACAGTCGGATTCAGACAGACGTTTGTGGGCTGCACACAGATTTAGACAGAACTTTGTGGGCTACAGTCAGTTCAAACGGAATGTTGTGGGGCTACAGTCGAATTCAGACAGAATTTTGTGGGCTACAGTCGGTTCAGACAGAATTTTGTGGGTTACAGTCGGATTCAGACAGAACTTTGTGGGCTACAGTTGAATTCAGACAGAATTTTGAGGGCTACAGTCGTATTCAGATAGAATTTTGTGGGCTACAGTCAGATTCAGACAGAACTTTGTGGGGCTACATTCGAGTTCAGATAGAATTTTGTGGGGCTACAGTCGAGTTCAGATAGAATTTTGTGGGATTCAGACAGAATTTTGTGGGCTATAGTCAGATTAGACAGAATTTTGTGGGCTACAGACGCATTCAGACAAAATGTTGTGGGCTACAGTCAGATTCAGACAAAATTTTGAGGGCTACAGTCGAGTTCACACAGAATTTTGTGGGCTACAGTGGGATTCAGACAGAATTTTGTGGGCTGCAGTCGGGTTCACATAGTATTTTGTGGGCTACAGACGCGTTCAGACAGAATTTTATGGGCTACAGTCGAATTCAGACATAACTTTGTGGGCCACAGTCGAATTCAGATAGAATTTTGTGAGCTACAGTCAGATTCAGACAGAATCTTGTGGGCTACAGTCGAATTCAGACAGAATTTTGTGGGCTACAGTCAGATTCAGACAGAATTTTGTGGGCTACAGTTGAGTTCAGACAGAATTTTGTGGGCTACAGTGGGATTCAGACAGAATTTTGTGGGCTACAGTCGGGTTCAGATAGAATTTTGTGGGCTACAGTCGGGTTCAGATAGAATTTTGTGGGCTACAGATGCATTCAGACAGAATTTTGTGGGCTACAGACGCATTCAGACAGAATTTTATGGGCTACAGTCAGATTCAGACAGAACATGGGGGCCACAGTCAAATTCAGGCAGAATTTTGTGGGCTACAGTCAGATTCACACAGAATTTTGTGGGCTACAGTGGGATTCAGACAGAATTTTGTGGGCTACAGTCGGGTTCAGACATAACTTTGTGGGCCACAGTCGAATTCAGATAGAATTTTGTGGGCTACAGTCGAGTTCAGACAGAATTTTGTGGGCTACAATCAGATCAGACAATTGTGTGGGCTACAGTCGAACTCAGACAGCATTTTGTGGGCTACAGTCGAATTCAGACAGACCTTTTGGCTACAGATGGATTAGACAGAATTTTGCGGGCCACAGTCAAGTTCAGACAGAGTTTTGTGGGGCTACAGTCGGGTTCAGACAGAGGTTTGCTGTGCTGCTGTCGAGTTTAGACAGAATTTTGTGAGGGTACATTTGAATTTAAACAGAATTTATCAAGTTGAAATATCCCCAAGTTCACACAAAAATTTCTGGCTCAGGTTGAGCTCTAATCACACTTACTTGCACACACACAAACCTCCAGTCACTTCAGCTTCGTACTTTAGCCCCTTGTCTGTCACTTGCTCTTTAAAATGGAAAACATGGTCCTTTTAATCTGGGAGGATTGAGCAGTCTGGGGTTTTTTACTGATTTCTGACAGTGCTGCTGTTTCTGTCTGCTGCTGTTCAGTAACTGACACACTGTGGAGTCTCTCTTTCACACACAATGATCTCTTTTCTTCTTACTTGTCTCTTTCTGTTTCTCTCTTTCTCTCTCTTTCTCTTAGACTTCTTCCGCTCTTTGTTGCTGTCGTTTTCTCCAAACCTGGAGGAGCACAACCCCTCCGTCGCCGAGTGGAGGCAGGACGTGGGGCGCGTTGTCACGGCAACGCTCTCTCAGGTAAAGGGAGTGTTTTTGAGTCCACGGCGGCTTCCTGTCAGTGTGTGTGTTATTGTGGAGAAGGTTCCTGACGGCTGGAGAGTTTTAATGCTGTCTCTCTCTCTCACAGCCTGGCTGATTTCCCCACAGTATGAAAGCATTAAAACCTCTCAGAGAGTGCTGCATCGTTCTGAAGCCAGGCAGATAACAATCTCTCCAGGCTCCGCCCACAAATGCGCTCTTTCATTGCTACTGTTGTGATGCTGGACAAGTTTTACAGACAAATACTGTTCAGCCTAATGAGAAACTGTTGAACAGTCTGAGTTTATATCACAATACCTACATTTAGAGTTATTCATTCAACCTAATGAGAAACTGTAGAAACTGTAGCCCAGCATTTTGGCTGAATGACTGTTAAAAGTAAGAAGGGAAACTATGCAAATGACACATTTTGATGATCAGTCTATGGTAGATGTTAGAGAGGGTCTAAATTTGTCCAGGTGGATGTTGAAGCACGTCTAAATTAGTCCAGGTGGATGTCGGAGAAGGTGTAAATTAGACCAGGTGGATGTTGGAGAAGGTCTATATTAGTTCAGGTGGATGTTGGAGAGGGTCTAGATTAGTCTAGGTGGATGTTGGAGGGGGTCTATATTAGTCCAGGTGGATGTTGGAGAAGGTCGAAATTAGTCCAGGTGGATGTTCAAGGGGGTCTATATTAGTTCAAGTGGATGTTGGAGGGGGTCTATATTAGTCCAGGTGGATGTTGGAGGGGGTCTAGATTAGTCCACGCAGATGTTGGAGAGTGTCAAATTAGTCCAAGTGGATGTTGAAGGGGTATATATGAGTCCAGGTGGATGCTGGAGAGGGTCTAGATTAGTCCAGGTGGATGTTGGAGTGGGTCTTAATTAGTTCAGGTGGATGTTGGAGAGGGTCTAGATTAGTCCAGGTGGATGTTGGAGGGGGTCTAGATTAGTCCACACGGATGCTGGAGAGTGTCAAATTAGTCCAGGTGGATGTTGAAGGGGTCTATTTTAGTATATAGATGTTGGGGGACATCAGTGTGTTTAGTAATCTGACTGCCTCTGAGAGGAAACTTGACACAGCAGGCTGATTATTTAGTTATTAATCATAATCATAATAGAGTTTTCAGTAATTGAGTAACCGTGTAAGTTCTGTAGTTGTGAGTGTGAACAATCGAGGAGTTTAAAGAAGTTAATGATTTCTCTCACGCTGTCTGATTGCCCCACTACAAGAGTGATGCTACCCCCCCCACCTCACCATCCCCCGGCTTACCCCCGCAGTGCTGTTGTGGCTCTGGTGGAAATCAGCCTGGCTGTGCAAGAGACAGAGAGAATTAAACTCTCTGAACGCAGAGAGAGCAGCATCACTCTAAAGCCAGTCAGCCAATTAAAGCGCTGGGAGTCAAGAGTTGCTCTATTACAGACAGTCACTCAGGCACAGATATAATGGCCTCTCTCACTGTGTGTGTTTGCAGCTGAAGAGGAACGAAAAGCTTTGTTAGTCCAGAACTCCAGAAAATACATCTTTAACCCTCAGAGTTCAGAGTTACTGCTGATCTTTCACTATCTGTTTGATCCATATTTCATATTATTTAAATATCACTACATCATTAAATAAATAATTCATGTCATTAATGGCACATAGATTTTATTTAAATTTCAAAAATATGTTAATGCAATTATATAAGTACATAATTTGTTATATAAGGAATTACATTTACATGCAGTCTACATTCTGTATGAACAGGTTCAGCTTTGCACTTCTATTTTTTTTTGTTTGATATTTGAACAATGTACACAAAACAATAACATCCAATAGTGTTAAAATATCAAATTGTAATAAATTTAAACCATAATAAAATATCTCCTCTTCTACTTCCAAGTGCAAGTGTGGTTTGGATTGAAATGTAGAATCTGCACTTACCTGACAGCTCCTGCTCTCGTTCCCATCAGAAATTATTCATATCAAATCACAGCATGATGGTGATGCTGTCAGCTGTAACTGTGAACTCTAAGGATAAATTGCAATAGTAACAGTAATTAATAAATCTGAATAATAAATTAACAGAATGGAAGATCCTTTTACTTACTTTTATAAGTTAAAACAACAAATGTTTTTACAGTTTGGTGTCAACGCAGTTACATAACATTACAATGACATGCATTAATATAGTTATAACTGATCGTAGCACATCTGCTACGAGTCTTTGTACACGAGTTTTATAGAGAAGAGAGTGTTCAGTGTGTGTGTGTGTGTGTGTGTGTGTGTGTGTGTGTGTGTGTGTGAGTGCGGCAGGTATGTGTGTTTCCAGAGGAGCGTTTGTTGGTGTCTGTGTTTCCTGGATCTCCGACTGCAGCTGAACTCTTCATCCTCCCTGAGAAAAACTACAGCAAACCCAGAGCAGAGGAACAACTCGACAAAGTAACACACACACACACACACACACACACACACACACACACACACACTAATCTCAGATTCATCATCAACATTTTTTCCTAGAAAGTCCTGCTTTGGATTTTGGCCAGCAGGGAAAAGACCTCCTGAGACAGAGTCAACGTTTGTGAAATACAGATATAAATGATGAATAAATAATTAATAAATTGTCTGTAATATCCGAACTTCCTCTGAGTTTTTGCCATGACAGGTTTTACCTTACAGTCAGGGACAAACATCAGTCCCTTGTCTAACTTTAAACTTCATTTTGCCATTTAGACGTTTTGAAGTACAGCTGGGGAAACGGTTCATACAGAACAGAGGGACTGAAAACTGTGGAAAATGGTGCTGGAATTGTGCAATCAAAGGGATTCCAGGATGTCCTTGGCTGGCACCGATGACTTCTGAACTGTCCTCTACAATAGGAGGAGTTCAAAAGGTCAGAGGTCCCAGCCCTGAGAACATGGAAAAATGAGAGATTCTGCAGTGAAATGGCTGTTTCTAAGTTACTTGACTGATTCACTTTACTTTTAAAGGGAGTGAAGAAGTGAGAGCTTAGTTTGTAGTCTGAAATCTCGGAAGTGAGCATTTAAGTTGAGTCTCAAGTCTCTAAGGTGTGAGTCGAAGTCCAGTAAATATCTACTAGATATCTGTTCTAGATGAATGCTACAAGCTTTGATGTCAAGCATAGCATCTTCACACCAAGTGTAAAGAAGCTGTTTAGCTCGGGCTCTACTGGTGCACCACAAAGGGATTCAAGTCTCTTCTCTGAGGAACAAATCCAAATCGAATCTTGATTTTCTGAGAGACAAGTATGAATTGAGTCTTGAGTCTCTGATGTGAGAGTCTGAGTTAAGTGTTAAGTCTTTGAGAAGGGAGTCTGAGTTGAATCCCAAGTTTCTGAAATGCAAGTCTGAGTGTGAGTATGTGTGAGTCTTTAGGATCGAGTCGAAGCTGAGTCTTGAGATGAGAGTCCAGGTTGAGTCTCAAGGTTAAAGTCCAAGCTGAATCTTGTGATGAGAGTTCAAGTTGACAGTTAAGGCTAAAGTCCAAGTTGAGTCTTGAGGGGAGAGTCTCAGCTGAGTCTTCAGGTGAGAGTCCAAGTTGAGTCTTGAGGTTAAAGTCCAAGTTGAGTCTTGAGCTGAGAGTCCATGTTGAGTCTTGAGGTGAGAGTCCAAGTTGAGTCTTAAGGTTACAGTCCAGGTTGAGTCTTGAGGTTAAAGTCCAAGTTGCGTCCTGTAGTGAGAGTCCAAGCTGAGTCTTGAGGTGAGGGTCCAAGTTGAGTCTCGAGGTTAAAGTCCAAGTTGAGTCTTGAGATGGGAGTCCAAGTTAATTCTTGAAGTGAGAGTCCAAGTTGAGTCTTGATGTGAGAGTTCAAGCTGAATCTCAAGGTTAGAGTCCAATTTGAATCTCGAAGTTAAAGTCTAAGACTCTAGACTCTAGACTTTGACTCTAAGTCAAAGTCTAAGCTGAGTCTTAAAGTGAGAGTTCAATCTGAGTTTTGAGGTGAGAGTCCAAGTTGAGTCTTGAGGTGAGAGTCCAAGTTAAGTCTCAAGGTTAAAGTCCAAGCTGAATCTTGTGATGAGAGTTCAAGTTGACAGTTAAGGCTAAAGTCCAAGTTGAGTCTTGAGGGGAGAGTCTAAGCTGAGTCTTAAGGTGAGAGTCCAAGTTGAGTCTTGAGGTTAAAGTCCAAGTTGAGTCTTGAGCTGAGAGTCCATGTTGAGTCTTGAGGTGAGAGTCCAAGTTGAGTCTTTAGGTTAGAGTCCAAGTTGAGTCTTGAGGTTAAAGTCCAAGTTGAGTCCTGTAGTGAGAGTCCAAGCTGAGTCTTGAGGTGAGGGTCCAAGTTGAGTCTCGAGGTTAAAGTCCAAGTTGAGTCTTGAGATGGGAGTCCAAGTTAATTCTTGAAGTGAGAGTCCAAGTTGAGTCTTGATGTGAGAGTTCAAGCTGAATCTCAAGGTTAGAGTCCAATTTGAATCTCGAAGTTAAAGTCTAAGACTCTAGACTCTAGACTTTGACTCTAAGTCGAAGTCTAAGCTGAGTCTTAAGGTAAGAGTTCAATCTGAGTTTTGAGGTGAGAGTCCAAGTTGAGTCTTGAGGTGAGAGTCCAAGTTAAGTCTCAAGGTTAAAGTCCAAGTTGAGTCTTGAGGTTCGAGTCCCAGTTGGGTCTTGAAGTGAGAGTCCAAGTTGAGTCTCGAGGTTAGAGTCTAAGTTGAGTCTCAAGGTGAAATTCTAAGCTGAGTCTTGAGGTAAAAGCCTTAGATGAATCTTGAGGTGAGAGTCCAAGTTGAGTCTTAAGAAGAGAGTCGAAGTTGAGTCTTTAGGTTAGAGTCCAAGTTGAGTCTTGAGCTGAGAGTCAAAGCTACGTCTTGAGGTTAAAGTCCAAGTTGAGTTTTAAGATGAGAGTCCAAGTTGAGTCTCAAGGTGAAAATCTAAGCTGAGTATCAAGGTGAAATTCTAAGATGAGTCTTGACGTGAAAGACCAAGTTTAGTCTTGAGGTGAAAGTCCATGTTAAGTCTTGAGGTGAAAGTGCAAGTTGAATCTCAAAGTGAAAGTCTAAGCTGAGTCTTGAGGTGAGTGTCCATGTTGAGTCTTGAGGTGAGAGTCTAAGTTGAGTCCTGAAAAGAGATTCCAAGTTGAGTCTAGAGGTTAAAGACCAAGTTGTGTCTTGAGGTTATAGTCCATATTGAAACTTGAGGTTGAATTCCAAGTTGTGTCTGTCTTGAGGTTATAGTCCATATTGAAACTTGAGGTTGAATTCCAAGTTGTGTCTTAAGGTGGGAGTGCAAGTTGAGTCTTGAGGTGAGAGTCCAAGTTGAGTCTTGAGGTTACAGTCCAGGTTGAGTCTTGAGGTTAAAGTACAGGTTGAGTCTTGAGGTTAAAGTCCAAGTTGAGTCCTGTAGTGAGAGTCCAAGTTCATTCATGAGGTCAAAGTCCAAGTTGAGTCTTGAGGTTAAAGTCCAAGTTGAATCTTGAGGTGAGAGACCAAGCTGAGTCTTAAGATGAGAGACCAAGTTAAGTCTTGAGGTGAGAGTCTAAGTTGAGTCCTGAGGTGAGAGTCCAAGTTGAGTCTAGAGGTTAAAGTCCAAGTTGTGTCTTGAGGATATAGTGCATGTTGGAGTCCAAGTTGAGTCTTGAGGTTAGAGTCCAAGTTTAGTCTCAAGGTGGAAGTCCAAGTTGAGTCTTGAGAGTCCAAATTAATTCTTGAAGTGAGAGTCACTTAGTCACAAATTAGTCTTGATGTGAGAGTTCAAGCTGAGTCTCAAGGTGAGAGTCTGAGTCTCGAAGTTAGAGTCCAAGTTGAGTCTTGAGGTGAGAGTCCAAGTTGAGTCTTGAGGTGAGTGTCCAAGTTAAGTCTCAAGGTTAAAGTCCAACTAAAGTCTTGAGGTGAGAGTCCATGTTGAGTCTTGAGGTTCAAGTCCAAGTTGAGTCTTGAGGTTACAGTCCAGGTTGAGTCTTGAGGTTAAAGTCCAAGTTGAGTCTTGACATGAGAGTCCAAGCTGAGTCTCGAGGTGAGAGTCCAAGTTGAGTCTCAAGGTTAAAGTTCATGTTGAGTCTTGAGGTGAGCGTCCAAGTTGAGTCTTGAGATTGGAGTCCAAGTTGAGTCTTGAGGTTAGAGTCCAAGTTGAGCCTTGAGGTGAGAGTCCAAGTTGAGTTATGAGATTAGAGTACAAGCTGAATCTTGAGTTGAGAGTCTATGCCGAGTCTTGAGGTGAGAGTCCAATTTGAGTCTTGAGTCTTCGAGGTGTGAGTCAACATCATGGTGTCTCTTGGCAGGTGGCCGTTCCTTTGAGAAGAAATCAACTGTGTACAGTTTCTCTGGGCTCCTTTGATGTTGGGACAGTGCAGCTTCAACTCTCACTTCAGATGTATGAAGAACTTTTCTGAAACCCGGCAGTGCAGAACAGTAGCTGTGTTGAAATGTCACTTGAGATTTCCACAGCTGCTGGTGAAAAGGAGAAGCTGTGCAGAACATCTCTCAGGTGCATGATTGGGGGAGCAATCACACACACAAACACACACACACACACACACACACACACACACACACACACATACACACACACACATTTTCTAAGCCACTTATCCTTCTGGGTCACTGGGGGAGCTGGAGCCTCTCCCAGCAGTCATTGGGCGGAAGGTAGGAAACACCCTGGACAGGTCGCCAGTCCATCGCAGGGCAGGGGGGAGCCACAGTAAATTTCTAATTCATACATGTTTTCATCAACAGGTACACATTGTTGGAATGTTTTCTCCTTACTAAACACATGTGAGCCTGCACATGCTTTTAGGTCCAGTTTGTCCATGCATATTCTCCAGCATGGCAGGCACCCCACCCCAGGCTGGTGGCAATGATATTTAACTGTTTTTTAAGAACACAACAGTCAGTGCAAAGCAACCCTCTTTTGTCCATTAAGATAAATCCAGATGGAGCAGGAGAGGTGGATGATCTGTTGCGGCCCTGGTCTCCTCACTGTTTTACTCTGTGGTCCTAGTTTGGTCTTACAAAATGGAACAGAGTAATGTTGAATAAGTAGAGTGGAGATGCTGGACTTGTCCTTTAGTGATATGTCTGTTAATTACCGCAGCCTGATGCAATTCAAGTGTTACTTAGGGCTGAAAAGTGCACTAGCGCAACAAGAGCAATAACTAGACTCATTATAACCAGACTCATTTACATTTCAGAAAGCAGAAGTTTGTAGCAGGTGAATAATAGATTAGTGCTCAAACGCTGCATAAGTGAATTTGCATTCCTAAAAACGCACTGAAAGAAGATTCACGCATAGATACACCGCAGGAGTGTATATTTTTATATGACACTGTACAGAAATGGACAGTTGGACATGGACACTTTTTGCATACCATTGGTGAAAAAAAACACATATCTCAAAAATGGATTATGAGAAGCAAAGACATTTTAAACTTATAATTCAACTTAATCCTCCTGTTATGTTGCAGGTCAAAATGTTTCAAAGTTTAAAAATACAGAAAAATAGTATTATTCATTTTTGGAGCATGAAACCTTTTCTGCTGGGCTTAATTAGTGTAATGAAGGTGTAAATGGAAAATGACTTATTAAATATGTTTGTAAAAATAATGTTTATGGAGAAAAATATATTTTTATCTACTTTCAGATGGTTAACCATACATCAGGATGTCACTGCTGTTCCTCACAGCTGAACATTACAGGAGGGTTAATACTTTTATAATGAGGTTTTATTACGAGTAATGTTGGATCATTTTTATTGATCTGTTCATCAGGAACCGACCACACAATGTGAAGAGAACCTTTTGTTTTAAAATGATGGAAGTAAATGATAAAAGATGGTTTTGTTCTGACAGCAGTGATACGCTGAATGACCTGATTGTTTGTTAAGCAGTGTTAGGTTTCTCTTTATGTTCTCTCACATCCTGCTGGTAACGATTCCTCACTGTTGGCTGGCTGTGCTGTGTTTGGAGAGCTGATGGTGTTTCCTTTTCTTTCCCGCTTTAGTGAGTAAATTGCCTCTGAATGGCGTTCCTGCTGTGTTTCAGATGCTGGAGGTGTTCATTAACGCTCTGAACCAGAACCTGATCCAGTTTGATCTGAAGCCGGACACTCGGATCACTGTTTCTGTCACTCAGCTCACTCTGGGTAATACACACACACATTCACTCACACACTCACACTCAAACACACACCGGGGACTGACACTCCTGTCACTTTGTTCCGCTTCACGGTTTCAGTCTGACATGGCCACTGTTCCAGTCTGACACGGCTGCGGTGGCTGGACTCAGCAGTGTCCTCTATAAACCATCGGATCAGATGGTGTGGGATAAAGAGCGGAAGTTCAACAGAATATAATCCCCCGTTTAAACCCTTCAAACAAAAGACAGTTATGAAATTAATAAATACCATAACAGGAAAAATTGATGATTTTGACTGCAGCCCTTTAAATTCAAATAGCTCCTCAGTTAGAAATCGTTCTACTGAGCTGGTTTTAAAAATGAATAAAGACGAACCAGTGAAGCTTTAAATACCAAGAACAGTGTTTAAAATCAATCCTTAAAAAGAAATGAAACCTCATCTACATTTATATTCAGTCCCACTTTACACTAAGTGTCTCCAATAACTGTGTAGTTACATGATAACAAAACATGCAACAACAATGTAACTACACACACTTGAAAAAGATGGTTCTTCCAGAGTTCTTTAGTAAAGAAAATGGTTTTTTACAGAACCGTGACCATTCAGAGAACCATTTGCATGGGGTTCTTTGCATGGTGAAATGGTTCTTCAGATTGATGGAGAATGTGCAGGAGATGGCTCTATAAAGAACCTTTTTGAAAATGGTTCTATGTGGCACTTAAAAGAGTTCTTTTATCGTATACAAGCTTGACATCATAACAATAAAAGAACGTTTTTGGTGCTATAAATGTTATAAATGGAACCATCTACAGCACATTCTCCATCAACCTGAAGAGCCATTTTACCATGCAAAGGACCATTTCATCATGCAAAGGGTTCTTTGAGTGTTCATGGCTCCTAAAGAACTCTTGATGAACTATCTTTTTAATAGTATAGTTACAAAACTCTATCTTGATACTTGCAGCAGCACTTTTCTCTTATGTAATTATACGTGTAATAGGGTGAGGATAATTATTATTCATTTGTATGAACTGTTTTTTCCCGTTTTTTCTGATTGTAACAGGAGTTTGTGGAAATCATCCACCAGTCTTATTGGAAAATCAGCAGTTCACCATATTACACATGTAATTACATAAGAGAAAGTATTTTGTTTTAACACAACTTGTGTAATTACATGAGTAAAAACTGAAGTTGACACAGTATTTACATAACCAATACTACTGTAATCTGTCTGTAATAGTTAATACTCATCTGTAGTTACATTGTCATTGCATGTATTGTTAATGTGTAACTACACAGTAATTAGAGACAGCATTAAGTCTGAAAATTCCAGTGACTCAAATACACAGGTTTATAGACTGCACGTGCTGAAAACACAGCAGAAAAAACACAGAGGTTAAATGTTCTGGACTGATGTGGACATTTTCTCTGCTCTCTCCCTTCATCATCTGTCAGGCTCCTGACCAGCAGGCTGAGCTTTTTTGGTCATTGTTATCCTGAAACTGCAGCAGAAGGGTTGATTTACTGTCTGTCCAGTTATAAATAAGAGTTTCTGAAACCAGGACATGTTCAGTGGGTGACTATCTTCAGGCTGTGATGAAGAGCGATGGGCCAGTGTACTAGATAATACTCTTGCTCTGGTGGGTGGAGTCTGTCTGTTGTATAGAACAGTAAGTGACACCACCACCCTCCACAGAGCACACTGGGAGTCAACGTCTCACCTAAATACTTTATAATTGTAATTGTGATATACCCAGGGTCCTAAAAGTTAAGAAAATTAGTAGTTACCAGCAGTGTGTGAAACCCCCCCCCCTGGTATTCAGGGGTCCCATGTTGTCTGGCTGTTTTAACTCACTCACCACAGTGGTGCTGATGATTCAATGTCAGTAAATGTTTGTTTTATCAGTCTCTGTTCTAGTGTTGTTCTGCGCTCTTCCTCTCATTAACTGAGATCTTACTCATCTCCTCTTCTGTCTTCAGTGTGAGAAATGAGGAACAGTCACTCTTTACACCAAACTCTTGGGAAACTGGGCGAGTTTTCAGATTTACAGATACGCTGCAGCACATTGTCAAGTGTTTCAGAGGAATCCGGGCAGAGTTACAGTTTCTAGGCTATGAAGGACCAACTGGGTGAACCGGTCTGCTACAGCGCCACCCTGAGGCAGAGCAGTGCTGCAGCTCTAGTTAGTTAAGAACACCAATGGCAGAAGCTGATTGTGGGTGAAGCAGACAAACAATGAGCTTCAATGAATTCTCTGAACAGGCATAAGTTTATTTTCAGGGAGCCCCAGAATTATAATTTTGAGACATGTAGGGGATCCAAGATGTTAATTTGGGGGTCCTGGACTTCCCAAGACCCCCTGTACTTTGCATCTTAATTACCAGCAAACTAGTACTAATTCAGAGAGTCACTCAACATAGCTAACAGGAAAGGGCGTGGGCAGAAGCAGCTAAGGTTGATAGCAGATTTGGCGGGGGATGTTTTTTGCCCCCCCCCAATATGGAGCCCTGACTGCAGCTGATTTAGAATCATCAGAAAGAGTTGCTCTCTGCGCCAGAAAAAAAAACACTTTTACCCTTTTCAGGCAGACCAATTCATCTTCATTTCTGTGAACAGGAAAAGGTTCAGAATGCCGCCAGAATTCTGCTGAAAGGTCACACAGTGTGTGTGTGTGTGTGTGTGCGTGTGTGTGTGTGTGTGTGTGTGTGTGTGATATTATGTAGACTGATCTGCCTGTCAGGACCTCACAAACCTCCAAAAAACACCGAAACCAGCACCGCTGAGCTCAGTGTGATCACAGTCCTATATGACCTTCAGCTAACCGAGTCGTTTAATTAAGAAATCCACAGAAACAGAGTTAACGAGAAACAAGTGTAACAGAATTCCTTGCTTTTTTCACAAACACGTTTATACACAGAACATTCTTTACCCCTCTGTGGTCTGAAGACATTATCTCTTCATTTGTTCATCTCTTCTTAAACTCTTTTTTAAAGGCTCATATAACATGATACTCATGTGTTTCATATCAAAATGCTCTGTTACCTTCATCACTACTTTCCAAAACCACTGCAGCAACTTCAGCAGCTGGAAACCCTCTGCACGCCATTTCACATAAGTCTCCAATGAGGACTGAATGAAGAATGAAGGGTTTCCAGCGTAATGGGTCAGTCCTCAGTGATTTCCTGACTGCCCATTGGTCAGTTTCACACAGAATGTAGACGGACACACGAATCCACCAGTTCCACACAGTGAGAGGATGGTGACATGCAGCCCCTCTTCATAGCCTCATAACTCCGGATGTGAGTCACATACGATCTCGTGATGAGATGGAACGGAAAGGGCGATATACAGTGTTGTATATAGACAACACTGTAGTGTAGTGCTGCCCACAGCAGTTTTGCCCCACCCATTCACACTGATGCTATAAAGAGTGTTTCAGCGGTGGCTGCTTTTTGAATGAGGCAGCCAATCAGAACAGAGCTGATTTACATACGCCAGTCCTAAAGGGACAGGAAAAGAAATAGGCTCTACAGATTCAGGAAATGTCTGAACTGTATTTCCGTGCTGGATTATCACAAAGAGACAGAAACAGATATAGAGATACCTCACTGCATTGATATGGATTATAATATGTTTGAAAACAGGTGGGGAAATAAACATTCTGTACTGAAGATGCTCTGTGGCCAGGGCTTAAAATCAAGAGAAAAAAATGAAAAACAATGACAGGCCATTAAATAAAAGCTTTTATTATAACATGGCTGACTTTCTGAGTTTATAAATTAAAAATTGACTGTTTTCCTGGATTAAATTGATTTCCATAGGCATACGATGAGACTGGTGCACTATGTAGTTTACAGATAATGACCTTGTTATACACAATTTGTTGTTGATATTGGTGTTTGTTTTTGTATATAGTTTTTTAGTAGTATTATTATTATATTGAATTTTGTTTTCCTTATTGTGTAACTTTGATATTTGTGAATCACTTGGACATCCAAACTCATGTGACTAATCAGCTGAAGGTGTTTACAGTACCTGTGTAGAGTGTGTGCTGTGACTCTGACTGATGACACAAGCCAAAACAAGTGATGTTTGTGTCCTCAGCCGCAGCATAATAAAGGCTTTTATTTAATGAAGAGTGACATCATTTTTACTTTTTTCCAATGGAGTTTGATGTGTGTAAACAGTGTTTAAAAGTTTCACAATGTACAGTTCGCTCCTCAGTCAGTACTGTCTATATATGGACAACACTGTAGTGTAGTGCCGCCCACAGCAGTTTAGCTCCGCCCATTCACACTGATACTATAAAGAGTGTTTCAGCGGTGGCTGCTTTTTGAATGAGGCAGCCAATCAGAACAGAGCTTATTTACATACGCCAGTCCGAAAGGGACAGGAAAAGAAATAGGCTTTAAGGGATAAAGGCATTCTGGAAAATTATCATGTATAAATAGATTATGACTATATAATAAATTATACAGTTTTTGGTACTAAAACCACACACATGTTATAAATGGAGCTCAGATGGAGAAATACAGTATTAAAATGTTGAATATGTGCTGTAAATATTGCCACCATACAATAAAGACAATAGAACATCTTCCTGCTTACTGATCTGCAGAGTCTGAGCCTATTTACTGTCAGTGTTTAGCGGTGAATGAGAAATCACACTGGCTGGACTATTCAGATATTCACATACTGTTCAGGTAGATCAGGTCAATCCATCTGTCTGTCTGTCTGTCTGTCTATCTATCTATCTATCTTTCTATCTATCTATCGGTCTGTCTGTCTGTCTTCTCTGTCTCTTATTATTCTGTATTATTGTTATACTGTATTTGTCTTGCTTACAGTTTTTTCTTTAAAGCCTTATTATTATATTATAATCACTGACTCAGTTGGAATGTGAATCTGAGCTGATTGTGTTAATAAACTCATCTATGTTAATCCAGCGTGATGTTTTACACACTGAGCAGCACTGCTGAATGTACTAAACAGTAATTAAAGATATAACATCACACAGACTCCTGATGCTCTCCACTTCAGTGATGAGTTTTCTGTCTTTCATAATTACAGTCAGATTAGTGTGAGATCATAAAAACCCTGCAGCTTCCCCACTGCGATGGTATAAACTGTAAAACCCTTATGAAAATTAAATATGTTGGATTTAAATATATGCTGTCGGTATATTACCCAATGTAAATAAATCTCTGCAATGTGTGCAATGTGTGTAATATGGTGTACTGTGTGTGTTATGTGTAGCTCCATTGGTGGACTCCAGTGCACTCCCCAGTGGCTCTGCGGCGCTGATGCTGGTGTCTCTGGCCTTCGTGGGTTTGGCCGTGTTCTTCATCTACAAATTCAAACGGTACCATAACCTGTTTATTTCAGCAAAATCACAGGTTATCCCCATTTTTCAGTGTTTTATATATTGCTAAATGTGTCGTATTAGATTAAGACACAGTGAAAAAGTTGGCTTTCATGGGTCACAGAAACCAGCAGTGAAATCACTGTAATAGGAACTGTAATAAATCACTAATGCAGTGCAGTTAAATTCTACTGTGTTCTCCAACAGTTCTGCTGTTATTTACATCTTTATGGTAAAACCTAATTAAGAACAGAACTCATGTGACCTTCTAACTTAGTCTTTACTCTCAGACTGATGAACACAGGAAGCTAAAGCTAACCCAGGCAGAACACTGAAAAGCTAATATGGACATAACAGTTTATACTACCTAAGATTGTGATAAAATACTAATTCACGTTTCACATGAAAACTCAAACATGTTTCTAAACAGCTTTTATGTTTCTGGTTGTACATTTTTAAATCAAATCTGGATAGAGTTGTTTGCTCTGTAAGTCTACAGGATGTAACTGGTATCTTATTTTAGAATCATACATTTAACATTAAAGGTTCAGGAGACAGTCTGGAAAATATGGATTTTTTTCTAGATCTGAGTCACTCATACACTCACCGCCAACTTTATTAGGAACAGTAATGTTCACATCCAACAAAAGTGACTTTTGGTGGGGCATCATTTTTGGTAGCAGACAGGATGGTTTAGTATTTCAGATACTGCTGATCTCTTGAGATTTTAATGCACAACAGTCTGTACAGTTTACATGGAATGGAGCGAAAAACAAACAAAAAAAAAACAGTGAGCGGCAGTTCTGTTGGTGAGCAAGGTCAGTGGAGAATGGCTAGACTTGTTCAACCTGACAATAACTCAAATAACTGCTCTTCAGAACAGCAGTGATCAGAAAAGCATCTCTGAACATGCAACACATCCAAACCTAAGGTGGATGGGCTACAACAGCAGAAGACCATATTCGGTTCCACTCCTGTCAGCCCGAGAACAGGAATCTGAGGCTCCAGTGGACACAAGCCCACCAAAACTGGACAGTTGAAGATTGAAAAAGTTTTGCCAGTCTGACGAATTTTGATTATAGACATGATGGTGGATCAGAATTTTGTGTAAACACTCTGAATCCCTGGATTCAACCTGTAATGTGTCAGTAGTTCAGGCTTGTGGAGGTGGTGTAATGGTAGGGGGATGTTTTCTAGACACATATTGGGCTCCTAATATCAGTTAAGCATTGCTTGAATGATGCAGTTTATCTGTGTATTGCTGCTGACCATGTGCGTCCCTTTACCACCTTCTGATGGTCACTTCCAGCAGGATATCGGACCTCATCACAAAGCACAAGATCTCAACTGGTTACATGAACATGATGATATTGAGTTCAGTAATCTTCAGTGGCTTCTTCAGCCACCCAACCTGAATCAAGTTGAGCACATTTGGGAGAACGTGGTAGAACGAGACAGTCACAATACGAATGTGCAACCGATACATCTGCAGCAGTTTCTTAATGCTGGAATGCCAACATGGACCACAAACCCTAATGAACATTTCCAGCACCTGATTAAATCCATGCCATGAAGAACTCAAGCTGTTCTTAGAGTAAAGAAGGTTAGAACAGGTTAGTGTTAGAACAACAGCTGTTTTTCCAGTGCACGGTACTGACTCAACTCTACTCGCCTTTTTTGGTTCTTCATTAGGCAAACCTGATGCCTGGTACTATTTTTGGCACCATCTCCATCAAGGTTCCAAGTGATCTGATCCAATACCAAAGGGTGATGTGGAAAAATCGATTGGTCGGAAAGAATCACCATTCTCACTCTAAACACATAACGTTAGCTACCAGGTTTTTCCCAAACTGTTTTTTTTAGCAGCCATCAGCCTCTGTTTGACTTCATGGAACAGCAGCTTCATGTTGCGTCACTATGATGACCAGCTACATTGAGGGGGTTCTATATATATGCAGTGGAAAACTATGTAGCTGGTGCCAAAAGCAAGTAGAGTTGAGTCGAGAGAAGTGAAGCCGGTACCATGTGGTGGAAAAGTGCCAAATATTCGTAATTAAGTGGACACTGAGTGTATAAAACTACAGAAATTATCATAAACTTTCTGTTTGTGTGTGTGTGTGTGTGTGTGTGTGTGTGTGTGTGTGTGATCAGTAAGATTCCGTGGATTCATGTTCAGACGGAGGACACACACGAGAAGGAGCCGGAGATGATCAGTGCCGTCGGACCAGGACAGAACACCACACACACTCCATACACACCACGCAACCCCACACACACTCCATACACACCACGCAACACCGCACACATCCCCTTCACCACCCGCATCAGCACACACACTCCGCTCCCATCATGCCCTGCAGCACACAGCCAGGCTCCGCCCCCCCGAAACAGCCGGGACATGATGGAGGAGCTGGAGACCCCAAATGGAGGTAAAAACAATAAACACACACACACAGTGTTCTCACAATCAGGACCCTCAAACGTCAACAATACACACGTTACAAAATGGTTGAGATGTTTGTAATTTACACAGAAAATTAGAGAATGATAAAACCTTTCATTAAGGTAAGATTAATCAAAAATAAACATTAATGTCACAATTATTGTGAGAAATTCTCCTGGTGAGCACACAGCACAGCACAGTAGAACACCACCACCTGTAAGCTAAATCATCCTGCAGGTCCTTTGCGGTCATATTGTGGTTTTACTTTGTCTTTCTGTTCCCCATATGAGCAGCTCTGTCAATCAGGTCCAGATCTCACTCTGACTTCCACCTTTTCTAAATGGCATTTTAAAAATTGCAATCTGGATGCACTTTGGTATCTTTTTAGATTTTTCTATTAGCTTCATTTTCACAGCAGCTGCTTAGCTTCTTTTCTGTCGCCACTTTTTTCCAAGCTTTTGTGTGAAATGCCATACCCAAAGCAAAAGGTGGCACTGTTCCCACATACTTTGGACTGCTGTCATGCTTTGATCGCTGTTGAAAGGTAACACTGTGATAATTTTTTTAACTAATTGAGCTAATTGTATGAATTACTGGCAAAGTAAGAGGCAAGAATGAAGAAGTTTATTTCTGCTTGACTTATAGATCTCTGAACTGCTCTCTGCCTGTTCCTCACCTTACAGACACAGCTGAGCCACAACACAACTCTTATCTCGCAGATTTGCTAAAGTTTGCTCATTTCACTTATGTTCCCAATGAGACGATCATAACTGCTGTATATAACAGATCATAAAATGGTTTGCTTTGAATCGAATCTTGAGATTTCAAGCTCTACTGCTGGATGATTTAATGCATAAACAAATTTATGAAAAGCTGGAAGTGTATAATGGAAGTGTGCTGGTACCTGTACAGTGATCTAAAAAGGTTAGAGGAGCTCATGGTTGTTAGTTGTCTGAAGGCTTGAAGAGTCAGAGAATTGGTTATGCTTTGCTATCAACAGCTGACGTAATCAACCCTAACGAGTCAACTAAGGTCTAACGAGTTATTAAAGTTCTGAGAAATTACAACTGGAGAATCGGTGTCCAATTTTTTTGCACGTCAATGCCCCAAAACTTCTAAGAGGTGAAATTATGAAAGACATTTAATGGCAATATTTTTCTATTAAAATCCCAGGCCCATTACAAACTAAGGCTTATTATTCAGTAAATACGGGGTCTTCAGTGCAGTTGGTTGAGCTATTCTGAAGTGTGTAATAAAACTTTGGGCCCACCAGTGGGCCCTAGCCACTTAGAGGGTTAATAATGATGCCTAATAATAGTAGATTGTATGTTATTGGTTTATTATAGACTGATAATCAGTGTGTTTCTGTCTGAGACTGTTTGAGGTGAAAGTATGTGATTGTATGCGACTGTGTGTGTGTGTGTGTGTATGTGTGTGTGTGTGAGAGAGAGAGAGAGAAAGAGAGTGAGGTCAGCAGATTGACCCCTGTTCCCCCCAGTGTCTACTCTGGAAGTTTCCTCTCAGCCTCGTATTGATTTTCCTTTTACACTCCTCTCTTCACTCATCAGAAGCTGATTGCGGGCCGTTTTCCCTGCTGACCGCGTTTACACCTCTTTATGTTCCTGAATCCAATACAAAACAATCTAACCTTTTTTTAAAACGATAGCTCAGGCAAAAGTCCAATTCTCCCCCACCCTCACCTCCCCTTACCTCAAATGTAATTGATCAGCAAGGACGTGTCTAGTGTCTGAAATTTGCTACATTAGCCTCGTAGCTCCAGTGCTAAAAATAAAGAAGCAAATTTCGCTGATCAACCAAGCTAACCCCATAAAGCATATGTCCCACCATTTAGCAACAAGTTAACACCAGAAAGCTTATATCTCACCAAGTATCACCAAGCTAACACCAGAAAGCTTATATCCCATCAGTTAGCACCAAGCTAACACCAGGAAGCTGATATGCCACCAGTTAGCACCAAGCTAACACCAGGAAGCTGATATGCCACCAGTTAGCCCCAATCCAACACCAGAAAGCTTGAATCTCACCAATTGTCACCAAACTAACACCAGAAAGCTTATGTCTCACCAATTAGCACCACGCTAACACCAGAAAGCTTAAATCCCACCAACTATCACAAAGCTAACCCCAGAAAGCTTATATCCCACCAGTTATCATTAAGTTAATACCAGAAAGCTTATATCCCATTAGTTAGCATCAAGCTAACACCAAAAACTTATATCTCACCAGTTAGCACAGATGGAGTTCGTTATGAGGTTTCTGACACTACTAATACAAACATGGGCTAAAACATGGTTTAGTTAACTTCACATGGTGTGTTCATGTCAGTTGTTAGCTACATTAGCCTTGTAGCCCCAGTGCTAAAACTAAAGACTAACTTCCAAACATGTCTTGGCTGATTAAAAACATTTGGGGTAAAGGGGTGGGGGCTAATTACATGTTTGGATTTTGCTTGAACTATCACTTTAATCTTGAGCCCCTTACACTCTTAATGATGGTCCATGTTGTGTTTTTTTTCCGTGCTTGTAGGAGCTGCAGGTTTTGGTGAGAGACTGAGGAACAGAGAGATTCCGAACTGCACCAACGTCTGAAACCAACCTAACCTACCAAAAAACACTCTGAGTCTTTCTCGCTGATCAATCTTCAGTCAAGTCTTTATATACGTTCAGCAGAATGTATCTCCAAACACATTTATTTAAACTGTAAATAAAGTTTTAATCTGTGGAAAGTGACAGAATGGAGTTTGCATTAGAAATAAAGTCCAGTAGTTCTTATAGATCACAAAAGAAGCGTGTTTATCTGTTTGACCACATTAGGTATGAGATCTTTAATTGGTACACAGTGTAGCTCATTTCATTTTATAAAAATGATTTAAACTCCTCTGCATGAGAACTGACAGGTATATGAAGAACTGTACATGATATTTTAGAGCACTTTAGGGAGATGAATGTCACATATTTGATATCTAAGTCTAATATAAACAATCTGAAACTGAAAAAGAATCATGTCAATCTTTTAAATAGTTCTGTATGTTCTTTTAAAGGATTTTAAAGATCTATGTTGATATAAATTTAAAACTGTAGAGGCTACATGAGTGAATGTTTGTCGTTGGAAGCTGACAGCTGTAGAAGATTCTAGTTTCATCACCAGCATCGTGTCTGTGTTTTGTGCCTTTACGCTGTGGATCATTTTGATAAATCGAGCTGCTGTATATTTAATTTGCTGTTTATTATTATTATACAGTAGATGTTATGGTGCATGAGTCATTGCTTCGTAAAGCTGACACGCCAGTTTTAAATCTGACTGTGAATTTCACTGTATCAGTCTGAATAAATGTATTTTTATATAATCAGTGAACAAATGTCCAGAGTGCTATTTTTTCTTCTCAATTTAATTTCAGTTCAGCTTGTGAAACAAAATTACGATCAAGAGTGACAAAAAGTAGCTTTGTAAGCATTCAATTGAAGCCCTGATTAAGGAATTGGGTTGTTTTCTAAAATCTACTGTGGCATAAGCATGGTTTTTATGCAATTTCAGAATTAATTCCTGAAAATTCTTCTCTGCTGGTCCAGAATTTCAGGTGAAGCTGCAGGTTTTTGAGTGATCAGCACTGGTACTGTCAATCTACGGGTGCCAAAAACACTAAATGTTTGAGTCAGTTTAACATCTTCAGATCTTTTGGACTCCACAGTTGTTGTTTTTTTTTACTTTTAACATTTACTGTGCATTACTGAAATTAATTTAAAATGCATATTTATGTAATTAAACCAAATAAAGAAAAACTTTTTGCTTTCTTAAATTTCAAATTTTGACCTGACTTAATTTCAAATTATGCCATGAGAAATACAACCCCATTTCCAAAAATGTTGTGATGCTGCGCAGAATGTAAATAAAAATAGAATGCAATGATGTGCAAATCATGTAAACCATATTTTTACATTTCATGGCATTTGCCAGATGCTGTTATCCAGAGCGACTTACAATTTGAGCAGTTTTACACAGGTAGGCAACAGTAGTGTTAGGAGTCTTGCCCAAGGACTCTTATTGGTATAGTATAGGGGGCTTGCACCCCACTCTACAGTGTAGAAGGCAGAGGTGTTACCCACTACATGACACCAACCACTAAGGGAAAAATAGTACAAAGAGAACATATCAAATGTTAAAACTTTAAAAAAAAGTCTTTTTAATAAAAGAAATTTTATTGTTTTTGAAAAATATATGCCCATTTTGAATTTGATGCCAGCAACACGTTCCAAAAAAGTTGGGATGGGGGCATGTTTACCACTGTGTTTCATCACCTCTTCTTTTAACAACACTCTGTTTGAGAACTGAGGAGACCAACTGCTGTAGTTTGAAAGTGAAATGTTTTCCCATTCTTACTTAATATAGGACTTTCAGCTGCTCAACAGTTCGGGGTTCTCCTTTGTCGTGTTTTTCATTTCATAATGCGCCAAATGCTATCAGTGGTGACAGGTCTGGACTGCAGGCAGGGCAGTTGAGTGCCTGGATTCTTTTAATACAGGGCCATGCTGTTGTAATACATGCAGAATACGGTTTGGCATTGTCTTTTCTGAAATAATCAAGGCCTTCCCTGAAAAAGACATCGTCTGGATGGCAGCATATGTTGCCAAAACATTTATATATTGTTCAGCATTAATGGTGCTTTCACAGATGTGCACGTCACCCATACCATGTGCCCTATACCATCAACTGGCTTTTGAACTGTGCACTGATAACAAGCTGAGTGGTCTTTAGCTTGGAGGACACAGTATCCATAATTTTCAAAAAAAAATTTCAAATGTTGATTCGTCAGACCACAGGACACTTTTCCACTTCCCCTCAGACCATTTTAAATGAGTTTGGGCCCAGAGAAGGTGGCAGCATTTCTGGATCCTGTTTATGTACAATTTCTTCTTTGCGTTTAAGAGTTTTAACTTGCATTTGTGGATGCAGCAACGCATTGTTTTCACAGACAGTGGTTTTCAGAAGTATTCGTGAGTCCATGCAGTGATTTCCACTACAGATTAATGTATGTTTTTAATGCAGTGCCACCTGAAGGCCCAAAGAGCATGGAAAGCGAATACTGGTTTTTGGCTTTGAACCTTGCATACAGAGATTTCTCCAGATCCTCTGAGTCTTTTAATGTTATTATGTTCTGTCAATGATGACAAGCAAACGTTCTTTGCTATTTTATGTCAAGAAACATTCTTGAATTGTTGCTCTATTTGGTCATGCAGTCTTTCACAAAAGTGGTGAAGGCCTCCTCATCTTAAGTTCTGAAAGACTCAGACTCTCTGGAATGCTTTTTTATACCCAATTATGTTACAGACCTGTTGTCAATCACCCACCAGGTGTTGTTTTTAGCACTTCACAACTTTACCAGCCTTTTGTTGCCCCTGTCCCAACTTTAACATGTTGTTGGCAGCAAATTCAAAAAGGGCATATATATTTTTCAAAAAACAGTCAAACTTCTCAGATTCAACATTTGATATGTTTTCTTTGTACTTTCAATTAAATATAGCGTTTAAATGATTTGCACATCATTGCATTTTGTTTTTATTTATATTTTGCACAGCGTCCCCATTTTTTTGGAAATGTGGTCGTAAATCATCGTTTAAACTTGGAAAATGTTGTACATAATTTGTGTGCAATTTTTTGCACAAATTTTTTTCCACTTGTTTGGATCTACTGAGTAGAATGAGTGATACATAATCAATTTATATATGAACTTCAAATTCAAATAAATTAAAAAAAAATGTAAAATGCTGCCTCAAATTATTAGAATTCAAGAACTGTTTCAGTATCTTTAAAAAGGTCATTCAAAGCATTCTCATTTTTCAATACACACACGTGCTGAGTTAACGAGTTAGTGAGTTAGTGGAGAACAGTTTCTGATTGGTTGGCATCCTTGGGGAAAATTGTGAACTTTTGGACAAGCGTTTCCGCTGATGTGACAGTTCCTCGGCCCTGAGGTTTGTGTACACAGTGCCGTGTTTGGAGAGATATGCTAACGTCCTCTCAGATTACACCATTACTGATTAAAGTTTCTCAGACTTCACAGAAAACTCAGTTTTGCTCTGTCAGCTCTCCACAGGTTCTCTGAGAGACGTTTATTATGTAGTTCAAGTAAGCTTAGCTTTTAATTAAAAAATAGCTCTATAAAATATATTTATATAATATATATATATATATAAATAATATATTTACATTAATTATATACACAGTCAAACACATTCTTTATAGGTTTATAAAGTGATTCTGAATTAGATGAGCACAATTAGACGATTCTTCTCTTTTGGGGTCCTTTTTGGTATGGAATAAGAGGCTAAAGATCCAGGTAAGAGGAACAGTAAAGCAGCTGAACCAACACAGCAGAATGACATCAAACCCAACTCTAGGAACTGGGTCTTATTCACCAGTATCTTCTTAAGTATGTTTTTAAGTGTGTTCTTGAGAAAGTTCCTAAGAAAAAGTAAGAAAAATCAGATTCATGACGTGTTCTTAAAGTGCAGTGTGTGTAGATTCTGTTCTTACCTAAGAACAAATCCCAAATAAGAAAACATTGGTGAATGTCAGAATCTTCCTCAAAACTGCATAAGTGGGAAATTTCTTCTTTAGAATTGTTGGTGAATGAGGCCAAATGCTATGATAATGATTGAAAACATATTATTAAACCAGACCTACACTTTCATCCTACTGCCTCTCGATAACATTAGCTTAGCTCCTAGGCTAACGGCAATGCTAATAAGACAATGCATCCATTTAAGACAGTAAGACAGACGATTAGGATGAACAGAATAACCATTTTAATGTGTTTTCTACTCTTTTGTGGAGTGAAGGTGGTGCAGAAATTGAGTATCGATGAATTCCATTTATACCTCTAATCCTGTACGATTTGATGATCCAGTCACCCCACCTCCATACAGAACTGTAATCTCGTCCCAGTCATTCTTAAGACTAGGATTAATCCTAAAACTATCCCTAGAAACCAACATCTAACAGCTCGTCTGATCTCAGTGTTCTGAGCCGGTGTGTTTTACATGGCGAGTGTGATCAGCGTTTTTCACCTGCAGGCACGTCATCTAAATTCAGCGAGCATGTTTCTGTAGCTCCTCCAAAGAGGAGCATTAGCTCCATCAGTGAACCACTGAGTTAGACTCAGATGTCTGAAAGCAGACTGCAGTAGATTTGTATTTGTAGATGATTAGAACACAGGGTTTAGATCTGTCAGATCTTTAATTACAGCAGTTAGAACCCAAAGATCTGCTCTGTTCTGATTTGTAGAATGAATGTGTCCCTGAAACTGCTTTTATTTTCCTCAAATTCAGAAATGAATGTGTGAAGGCTGAATCTGATGGTGTGTGTGAGTGTGTGTGTGTGTATGTGTGTGTGTGTGTGTGTGTGTGTATGTGTGTGTGTGTGTGTTGTCTCCTGCCTGTCGTGTCTCGGCTGCGGCTGAAAGATATTTAACATTTCCAAAGGTCATCCTCCGCTCTCCGCCGTACAGAGATATCGATAAAGGAAGGACTATTTAAGGCTGTATGAATGATTATTTAATATCGTATGAATGATTATAACACCTGTCTTCATTTCTTTACAACTCTGCTGGAGACTCTCTGCCTGTCCAGCTTCTCTCTCTCTCACACACACACACACACCTCTTAATGCTGCACTCGAGTGTGATTTGATTGGCACAGATTTGCAGGATTTGATGAAAAGACCATGTGTTTCATTTTTTTCTGCCTAATCATTATTCATGACCTTTGGAAAAAATGCGAGGCGTCGTCACCAAACTGTCAAAACAAATCATTAAGCGGTGGGAGGGCTGCAGTCGGACTGCGTGACCGGGGAACTGAAATGAAGACATTTTTGAGTTCACATGCATATTATTTGCAATTGTGAA